AGTTGTCAAGGCATTTTTATTTCATGTCTTTTTCCTTATTGGTAAAACTTTTAGTGACAGTTTCCCTCTGATACAGAATGCCTTAGCAAAGGCAGAGAAGCAAAGTAATGTATCCTGATAAAGTGGCCTAAAAACCAGAAAATCGAAGTGCACGTGTCAAAAAATGCTGGAAAGAGTGCTACTGTCAGCACCAAGCCTGCAGTGAAAGCCCAGTTTTGTGTGGCATGATGTTTGCAAAAACGGGTGCATGATACAGGTACCATTACAGTGGTAATTTTGAAAAATAATCTGAAAGGTAAAATAAGAACTATTGTCGGGAGCAGTTTTCCTTGTGTTTTGTGACAGGCATGTCTGCCCTTAAGACATGGACAGAGGATCCCAAGAGCTCTTCAATGGTTCCTGTTASTGTTTAGGGCCTGTGAATGAAAGTTTTATTTGAGCTTCAGTTTCTACTTTTATTTATCTGCCTCTGGGATGGAGSTGGGTTTTAATTTTTACCCTGCAGCTGTGCTCATCTAGCTCATACACTACGTGGTGTTCTGCTTTCAGCACTCATGAGACTGAAACGCATTTCCTCCAGGAGCAGAGAGACTGGCATCTGTAACTTCTACCTCCTTTTCCTGTCTTCTTAGCATGGAAGGAAAGGTCAGGGCTTTGAGGTGGTGAGAGTTACCTCTCAACCTACTGAGAGGAGACTGTAGAAGACAGTGCTGCAGTTGGGATCTTGCACTTCAGATACTCATGCACAGGCATGCACTTGTTGGGCCATCAGCATCTGGCTGATGTGACCAGACCATATAGAGTTCAATATACAAGGCTCACTCTTTGGCACAAAAAGAAGAAACAGCTGCTGTGCGAAGTCAGATGACTGCTTTTATTCTGTGGTCTTCAAGAGACGGAGAGCCAGATTGACTGTTGTTGAGCTGGAGTCAGTTCCATGATGAACTGACGCAGGTTRGAGCTCCTCATTCAAACTAAGCAACATCTCCTCATACTATATTTCCTCAGTGAAATAGGAATATAATATTTTCACTTTACTGATTCACTCAATTCTTCTGTTTCTACAATTTTGAATATTTTAATCTAATCCTAGGGCATTGTACATGATTTCTGTTGTAATTTCCCACTCTTTAAATCCACATACCCGCACAGTCCTCCTGTCTTTCCTTAGGGCTGTTTTTTCCCACCCACAGTCTCAAGGTATGAAGTGCTGTGAAGCCCTTTCTGGTTCATCACAAATGTGGGGCGTATCTTAATGAAAAAGAGGAGTGAAGGTGAGATGGAACACTGAGAGCACTTTGTTTCTGGTTAGGCAGATGAGATGGGAGCAGTTTCTACATGACACTGGCAAGGGCACAGGGAATACAAAGCAAATGGGTGCAGCTGTGGGGCATGCTCTACATTACTGTAAATACACTTCTAATTCTGCATGTTGGTAGGTACAGTGCAGAGGAGCTCGCAGGATCTCTTCCTGTCGCATTCAGAAGGGACAGGAAAGAATTTCAGTGGCTGTTCTTCATTCATGTCACAGTGATCTGTGTGGCTTCTCCATATCCAGGAATTGGATTTGGAGTTCAGCGTGACACACTACTGCAAAACAAAAGTTTAAAAAAAAAAAAAAAAAGGAAAAAAAAAGAAACTTGAAACCTATTTATAAAAATGAGCTAGCACTAGAACCTAAGTGATACCTTGTAATTGCAGCAGATCCTTAAGACCGGGAGAAAGGGAAAGGGGAAAAAAAATGGAGCACTTCTAGCTTGCCCTTCCATTCTCATAGTTTGGCCAATGAAATAGTGGGGCATGTAGCTCACAGCACAGTGCTMAACATGACACGATGCAGACATATTAGTTTCATTCCAGAAGGCAATATAAATATACTCAGGAGGGATTATGCTAGCCCTTAAATCCTTGGTAGTTGGCTGATGCTGTAGTTTCAAACTCGAAAGCAGCTGTTTTGGAGCCTCGGAACAGCGCTGCCGCACTCATGCAAGCGGTGACACAAAATTCCTTCGTCAAGAGCTACACTTTGATCACTAAAATAATCTATGCTGAGACCTCTTTAGAAGCTGTCTCTCTTAAATAACATGAAGGCCCAGAAAGTGTTGCTTTGTGAAGGCCTGACACATCATTTCATTTCCTATTCTGCCAAACAGATGCACAGTGAACTTTCTCCCCCTGAGCACTACAGGTTTCCTCTTTCCTTTGGGAGGAAATGTTTAACCACATCTGTGAAAACCCCCTCTCGTTTTGTTGGCATGTAGACCTTGGCTCTTGAGGCTATTTTTCCTCTCATTGCATTGTTTCAAATTGAACAAGTGCCTTTTTACCGCCTTACTGTTCAGTAACTAATTTGCAAACATCTCCCAAGCTTGGTTCTTAAAGAGCTCTAGTTCTGGCTATTCACAGTTCTCCCTSCCTTTCACAGTCCAGAGGATAACAAGGAAGCCACTAATTATTTCTTCCATTCTTTGGCTAAAGAGAATAATTAATACATGACCAGTAAAGGACGACGGGACTTTGTCAGTACTAATTTACAGTTTGTGACAGAGTTTTTGCTTGCAGCTCACATCCCATTTGTAATATTGGATGAGATGTAGAATCTTAAATGATATTTAATCTGTTCCCAATAGCCTTATTGGCTTATCTTATCACCATGGTATAAACGGTGTGCATAAATATACACACACACACACACACATATACACAAAGATTTTTCCAAGCATGATTATAAAAAGCTGCATTTTATACTCAAAGACAAGTGCAGCCTTGGCTATATCCAACATCATTAAGCTTTTTTTTTTGTACAGTTGTAGTAAAAAATCATTTCCCCCCCCCCCAGACATTTGTTCTTAATCATGACTAAGCTGCAGATAAATTTGTAATTTTATGGTATTATCTTGTTTAATGTAGTTGCTTCCAGTAGATGGCCTTATAACTGTATAGTCTTGCTTAAGGTTAGTTTCCATCTTTGCTTAGGCCTTACCAAATAATTAGTTTATTAGTCTTTTTTTTTTCTCCCAGCATTAAAAACAAATGAGGCTTAAAACATTCTTCTTGCTCTTTTCATTTCCTAGCCAATAAATGATGTAATTTCTTTCCATTTTATTTATTTTGTAACTTTTTCCTTTTCTGCATCTATTATTCCACAATCACTTTATTTCTGTATTTTTGAAAATCTGTCAAGAGTAGAGAACCAGTTACAGGAAGAAGCTGATAATTTTAACTGTTCAATTGCATTGAAAATGTGTTGTTAGTTTTGTTACAGTCTTAAAAAAAATGCAAGAACATTGTGGAGAGCTATGCTAGCATTAAAAAGAAACAACAACAGCAAATGAAGGTGGTTGTTTTTATTGCTAATGCCAGATGTTTTCCCATTGAGTGCACTTGGGTACAGACAAAATGGATATTGCAGCCCCTTCTCACAGAAGTCCAAAAGACATTTTTAAAGTACTTATCAACACAACTAATTTACATATTCATTAATCTCCTATCTACATTATAAGCAAAGCTACTGTAAACATGGACAGTATATTCTTTTGCTTCACTTTGCATCGCAATATCATTAAATCAGAATTTTATCTTTATTTGATGATGTACACACGTATTTTAAGGCAAGACAAGCTGMCACATAAAAGACAATGCTTATCAGTTGTTTTTTCTCACGTTTATTTTGAACATATTCCCATCCTGCTTCATGGAATTTATGAACTTACTATCCAGTTCACAAAAAGCTGTCTGTAAAATTTAAATGTCTCCTCATGATACATCAAAGCTCCTAGTCTTCCAGGCTTTGCCCTTTCAAAAAGAAAAAAAGATCTCAAATAGAATATTTTTCTTTGCAGCTTTTCCCTGTTTGTGGTCCCCAGTTCCATACTTTTTTTCTGAAGGGAGGAACCTAAGGCAATCCTTGAGCACCCAAATTCTGCCATTGTAATTTATAGGAAGTTTAGCAGCTAAATCTACTGTGTTTATTGTGTTGTCAAAGATAACTTCTTAATTACTGATAAAATGAGCAGCATGATTAACTACAGGTAAAAATGAAGGGGAAAAGGAAGCAAGAACATCTTTGGAGTATCAGAAGTGGTGTGACATACATTTATTTACATACCATAATGGCAAAAGGTAGGGAGAAAAAAAAAAAAAAAAAAAAAAAAGGAATTTTACCGGGGAAATAGCCTTTCTTGAGGAAAAAAAAAAGTGCTATTTTCCACACACATGTCACTAAAACCATCTCCTTGAGTCATTTGCATCCCCATTTCATTTGCAATATGCAGAAGCTTCCAAATTAGCCTCCATATAGCCTCTTTGCACTGTCTATATGACCCCCTGTCCGAAGAAAGAACAGCTAAAAAAAGTCCTCTTCTGTACTAAGGTCTTGGCTATCCCATTCCAATGTCCTGCTTCACAGAAATKCAACATCCAAAACTTGCAGAGTTTATTGAATTAGTCTTTTGGCTGGAGGGTGGGGTAAAAGCACTACCAACACCCCCTCTTCTTGTGCTCGCGATAAAAACAGTGGCTGGGGCTGATGGGGCAGGACATCTCTCCCCATGAGCAGTGACTGGCCATGCTGAGGCCAATTTAGCTGCACCTGGAAATGCTGCTGCATGGATCATGGTTCCTCAGATAGAGTCATCTCTGCTTACAGCTTACAGCTGTCCCACCTGGCTTTCTGCCAAGCAAGGCCTTGGGGCACACCTGAACTGGAAGAACCAGTGATGCAACTCTAAATCTATGGAATTTGCAGCCAGAGCAGAGATGGACSAGTGATCCCATGCTAGTTAGGAAGGGAGGGGAGGTGGGCAAGGGATGAGCTCCAGATTGCTTGGAAGAAGAGGCAGGAAGATGTCGGAGGATATGGGCGAGACAAGGAGGTGCCTTACTAGCTGAAAATCTAGAGTCAGAGAACATTCAGGATCATAAGCTGAGTATTACAGGTGTGTAACCCTGAGGTGTGCGTAAGGCCTTGATTACAATTACCTGTCATTTTCCTTCAACAGAGACAACCTGGGAGAGGCCTAGCAGCGTGCCTGGGACTCCGAAGAGCCCTGGGACACAGAAGAGCCCTGCAGGTACTGTTTGCTTGCTGCGTCTGATTGTTGTATTGTGTAAACCTACCTCTCTGCCAGTCAGCAGAGCAAAGAAAAATGCTCTGATTTTGTGGAATTTATAGTTGATGTACACGGTCCTGCGAGTGCAGCAACACCAATGTGGTAGGACTTTCCTTCCTCATACATCTTGTCCATTGTTTCCCTGCTGATACATCTTGTGGTCTGTTTTCTGGTCTGATGAGAGCTGATGAAGGGCACCTGTTGAGTGTGTGGCCAACCAGCCAAGGGAGCAAAAGATGAGGTTGGTTTCCCAGTGTGTCTTTCTGACTGGGTAGGAGAAACAGCAAGCACAGAGGAACGTGGGCTGGCTGCATCCCTTTATGTAGCTCACATATGCAAAGGAGAGTGCTTTAGCACGTGATAGTTAYAGCTACAGGTAGTGCCCACTTCACTTCTGACCTGTTCTGAAACTGGTGGGAGTCAACAGAGAATTAGCCATACTGATCATTTTCAAGTATTAGAGGGAGACAAAGAACAGCAGAAATTACTGTGCAATATCAGGTGATACGCTTAAAGGCTACTGCTGTAAGTAATGAGGCCTAGTTTTGTTTGKTTTTTTTCCCAGAAATTTTTAGCACTGATGCCAGTCTTTGCTGACAGAGCTGAGTGGGAAGTGCTCTTGGAGGTTGTGAATTTTGATCTGACCAAAGGATTTGTAACATAGTCAAGTATCTTTATCTTTTACTAACCTCACTTTGGGCATCATACTTTACTCAGTATATTCCAAAATGATAGTACCTTATAGCTGTGTACATGACTGGTTCTCTTTCTGAACCATAACCTTCTTACAAGGCTTGTTTCCTTGGCATAAGGAGTCAATTTCCACTAGTGTTTTTCTTTTTTTTAAGTATATGGAGAGATAATTATGTCTTCAAATGCTTCATTTAACCAAACAGGGCTATGGCAACTTCTTAGGGTTCTTACTGGGTTGGTGCTAACACAGCAAATAGGAGATTCAACTAGAAATCTGTTGGGACAGGGAGAAGCATTCACACATTTCTTAGGTTGGAAGCAAGGAACAGTGGGATCCCAAAAAAGGTACCACAACACCTTTCCATTCAATTATATGTTCAATTTTTAGAAGGTAAATTTTTGGTACCTACCATAAGCCTGCTAACTCGCTGCATTTCCTTACAGTGAATGGCTACCACGTCTCTGGGACTCCAGTACATCAGGTGGACTCCACTCATATGAGCCTCCGAAAAACCACTGGGGAAACTCAGGTAAGTTCTGGGGAACAATCCAAACAGCAGTATGCAAAAATATGTCTTTTAAAATAGTTTAGGAATCTTCCCAGAGCAGAAGGTCAAGCTGCATATTATTTTAGAAACCAGTAGAACAGTCAGATTCATTGCACCTAGAAAAAGTTAGTTGTGAGAAACTGGTAAACCAGTACAAAATTACAAGATGCTTTTGAGATATTTGTCTCATTTTGTCATTCAGTTGCCTCATGTTGAACCAGGACATTACTGCAAAGATGATCGTACCCTAAATCCCTAATGTTCATTACGATTTCTGTGATACAGAGCTAGAATTTCAGTCACGTCATCTCTGTAGAGAATAAGATATTTTCTGGAAAGCTGTAGAGAAGACAGAGAGAAGAGAATGTCTCTAGATCAGTCCTGGTCCCCTGGCCAGCCTCCTGGTCAGTCCCCTCTCTAGACCTGGACATCTGCTCCCATCTACATCACACTTACATTTTCTTTCCGCCCCAACCTTTTCTCCTAAAGACAGTATTCACAAAAAACTTCCTGAAGCTTTTTATTAATTACTTCATCTTTTTCTGTGTGTCCTTTTACTGGCCCCCTCTCTGTTCCTTAAGCAGCCCGTGCCTCACCCACTTCATCATCCCTGGCTATCTTCCAAATCACTGACTCCTACTTAATTTGACAACTGATTTCCCCAGCCTGTTTGTTGGACTTTTCAGTAAATATCCCTGCACTTTTTCTTGCCCCACCTAATGTCCCTTCCATATCGGTCTCGCAGTGCAACTTGGTGCCCTCTTCCAGCTCCTCCCGTAAAAGCTTTTCTGCTCCACAGCTTGCCACAACAACAATCATTGAATAGCTGATGGGACTACKTTCCCACTGATTTCCAGGCACTTCGTTCTTCTGAACTAATTTTTCTTTGAGTAGTTTACACAGTCCACTATAGACTGCATGTAGGCAGCTGAACTAGGTCCAAAAGCTTTTTAGAAACTGAAGAAAGSCTTTTAGAAACTGATGTATTACCAGATCACCCCAATCTACATGTTTGCTGTGACTCCCTTAAATAACTTGAATTAATTTGCATGTTGTGCCTAAAAAAGTAGTGTTAACCTTTGTGCAAGATAGCTTGTTTCTTAATGTATCTGTTTTATAAAATTTTAGCAGTTGGTTTAGCATACCAGTCAGATGTACTGAATCCCCCCAGAGCTATTTTGGTTACAACATTTGGCACTTTTCATTTTTAAGGCATTTAGACTAATTCAAGTTTACAACTGCACTTCAGAGATGCAGTAGGAGTCCATTTTCCTGCACTGATTTTCTTGGTTCGCTCAATGACATCAGACAGATAAAAATCCCTTTCATAATTTCCCTCATTCAAGGTGCTTCAACTGCCTCCTTGGCATTTTCTTTCCATTACTCCTTCCATATGGGGTTTTCCAAATTAAATACCTGGCTTCATTCCTGCTTTGAACTATAACAAGGTCTGTTACTAGTTGCTGGTGCTATTAATTCTAACAGTGTCTTGTGTTTACACCCATTCAGGAGTCTCCTTTTCCCGGGAGCTCTAAATAGTTTTGCAAAAGAGGCCTTTAAAAGGAAAACACCTGACCATATTCTCTTCATTTCAACCTGGTGTGTTTTCCAGAGCTGTTTGCTATATGGCCTCCCACAGCTTGGCCTGTCACCCTTTCCTGAATATGCCACAGTCTATCCCRAGTTCTTTTTCCTTGAATGCCTTATTATCTTTTCATTACATCGGCTTTCTGCTACTGGAGTGTAACTTCCAGGTACTCTCCAGGATCATTCTCAGACCTGGGGAGCAGCCGTCGTGCAAACAAATGCTGCCTAGATCCTTTGGGCAAGCAAAACCACATTTCTTGGAAGCAGGACAAGGGGGGAAAAGCCACATGTGTGAACAGAGCAGAGCTGCACTGTGCTGGGCACAGGGCCAGGCCTTGTTTGCTGCTTCCTAGAGAGCAGCTCAGTGCTGCCTGCTCAGTTGTCACAACTGCCCCGAACAGAGCAGCAGAGCGGCCCTGCTGCCATGCATAAAAACACCCGTGTGGGACCTGACTCTCTTTAACCACAGTCACTTTGTTGTTGTAGCTTTAATGGGACATTCGGGGTTGAAATACACAAGGAAATGCCACAGTTTTGCACCTCACTCCCACAGTTTTGCACCTCAGTGGCACTCAGTGGTGCTGAGTGAATTGCCCTGCATGCCAGCACTGTTGGGCCAGGCTCATCCACATTGTTCCCAGTGTAGAGGTTGATCCCAATGTAGAGGTTGATCCCATGAGCACAGGAACAGGCCCGATGAGAGCAAGGGGAGGACAGAGCAGCAGAGAAGGCGACTGAGCAGGACAGTGGATATTGAGAGGGCTGCTGGCGGGACATGGCTGGTGCCTGTCGGGGATGGCGGTGGCAGGACCTGGGAGCGCCCGGCCCGCCGCCCCATGGCGCCTTCCCATGAGCGGAGTGCCCGCCTGGGCGGCACAGCGCGCGGCTCCGGGACCCCCGTGGCGGCGGGCCCGTCCCCGCGGCGGGGCGGAGCGTGGCGCCGCCGGCACCGCCCCGAGGGCTGGCGCGGGCGGCGGGCGGGACGCGGCGAAGCRCTCGGCGCCCTCGCAGCAGCCTCTGCCGCCTGGCCCGAGCGCCATTGGGTTCAGGGGGTCTGGGAGGGGGCGCCCGCCGCGGCGCGAGGCAATGGCGGCCACATAGCGGCAGCCCCGCGCGGCCCGTTCCCGCCATGCTGGCCTCCGAGAGCGCCCTTGACGATGCGCCCCGTGTGTCTCCACAGAGCCCCGGGTCCCCGGCCGCGCCGCGGAGGCAGAGCAAGGAGAGCAGCCTCACGGTGAGTCCCGGCGCGGCGGCGGGCACGGAGGAGCCGGGGCTCGGGGRGAAGCCAGTGACAGCCACCCGGCCCTGCGTGGGGATGGGGTGCCGGGGTGCCTGAGAGGGGGGCCCCGATGGAACCCCCAGCTGCATCAGCAGGAGCAGCCGCTGCCCTTCGAGCRAGGGGAGGCTGCACTTGGCGCTTGCAGAGCCACATGTGAAGGGCTGCGAGCAGCCTGGCGTGCCCTGCACACGAGGGACAGCGAGGCAAGGGAGGGAGGCCGCCGGGATGAGCAGGAGCTGGTGCGAGTGATGCAGGAGGAGAGGCTGGGGGAGCTCAGCCCGCGGTCAGGCTGCACGCCGGGCTGAGCAGCCCTGCAGCGAGCAGAAGGGGCTGGAACCAGAGCCCCGCCAGGAGGGCACCCTGAGGTGACAGGGGCAGCGTTCCTGTCGTGAGAAGGGAAGTTCCAGTTAGACGTAAGGAACAAATTCTTCACTGTGAGTAATTTTGCTGTGGTTAAGCACTGGGTATCCCGGAGAGGCTTTGGGATCTGTGGCCRTAGAGATTTTCAAAACACAGTTCCAATATGCCCGTGCTTATGATCCTGGGATGGATAGGAGGTGTGGAAGTKGCTGAAGGTGGGAATGTGCATCCTGCAAAGCTGCTGGCTCTGCATCAGGTKTCCTGAACACCCACGGAGCTGTTATCCAGTTTGTCTTTGTCCTTGCTCCAAAATGCCCTGAATAATTAAAGAAACATTAAAAAAAGTGAAGAAACAAAAGTTGAGGAGAACACTCATTGCCCTTCCAGACTCAAATTTTTCTCAAATACCTTTTTGTCAAAAGGTATTTTTCTGGGTCAGGTTGGAGATTGGTGATGAAAAGTGTAGGCAAAGATTTTAGGTGTTAGTGTGCAGTTAATCTTGCACTTGCTTTTAATGTTAATAATTAGATAGAACTGGTTCAATTAAAGGGTTTTCAATATCACATTTACAGACATTAATATCATCTGTATGACTGAGGATGTCATCTGGAACACAGTTTGCAATTCTGGACTCCTCAGTACAGGCAAGATATTTAAAAACTGGATGGAAATCAAAAGAGATTAATAACAGTGCCTGGAAATAGAATGGTTTATTTAAAAGGAAGTAATAAAGAAGATAAATGAGCAAACAGTGATAAAGGAAAGGGAATAAACATAATTACAGCCTGCAACCATTGGGAGGATGTAAAATCCAAGGCAACAGAAGGAATAATTTAGTATTGTACATTATTGCTTAATTGTATGACTGTTATTACAAGAAGGATGTTATTGTCTTGTCTACGTTCTTAAGCATAGCTTGCTGCTTTAACTGTCAGTGTGCGTAACTCCCTGATTTTTTGATGACAGCAGGTGAGGTTTGAAAAGGAACATGCATAGATGGGACTGAAATGTAAACCATTGTAGATAGGATTTTCTAAAAACAAAAACCAAAATGTCTTCAGTAATGTACTTGGTTATCAGAATCACTCCTCAGGTTTGAAAAATGTGTTATAGATACGTAGAGATATTTTGTTACAGTTATGAAATAATTCTAAGATTATTGGTTTTGACAGATTTGCCAATGTCCTGGGGAATCAGCTGCAGATCTTCAGGGAYCTGGGGCTGAATCATCAGGCTGGTTCTCAGCCTACTCCCTATCTGCACCTGAGAGACAGGAGCAGACACAGATTTAGTGTCTGGCCTCGATGGCCTGCACATGATCTCTTGGTAGGATGTTCTGTGTTTCAGAACACCATAGAAGCATGGAGGTKCATATTTCTGCAGTGCTTGCTATTTCTAGGGGTGAGGACTCAGGTTGTTCACTGTTTTTACACTGTTTTATTTGCTGGCCTGTGTGCCATCTGGTAGTGTCTGCAAATCAAGGAAGTGTTGAGTGTTATGTAAGGATCGCCGCGCATGCATTTCTCTAGCAGAAGTCCTACGCTTTAAAATATGGTGCATCAGACAGACAAAAACAAGCTAATTTTAACAGCTGTTTGCCCCAAGCAATTGCTTGCATCAAGAGAGCATTATGAAAGATGGTATTCTGATATTTAGTGTAAATGGCAAAGCAATGCAACCATTGCTCCGCCAGTAGGAGATTACATTTATTCAGGCATCGCTCGAGCTCATATTGGGCTGTTCTGGTTCACAGAGTGACGGGCATGTCCGCAGCTGGTGGTTAAATGGCTTTTTGGGTCCTTGAGCAGTCAGGACGTAGCTTCCGTGTTGCAAAGGAGAATTGTGTGATGAACATGTGGGGTTGAAATGCAAACATCAGTCCTGGGGTGCCCAAACTGCTGAAGTCTCTTAACGGCACCGCAAGCACCGGCTGCAGTCCAGCTGCTCTTGGTGCATTCAGCAGAGCAGTAAGAATTTGCTACGTCCTTCCTAGGAATGTAGCTGCATTTAGAAATTCAAACAAGAGGTGGGGAGMATGGGTTGCTCTTGCTTTGGGCCAATCTGAGAAGAGTTGTAAGCCGGAGTATTTCTTGTCCATATGCACCCAGCAAGAAGAGTAAGATATTTTCTGTTCAGTAAACAGATGTTTCCAAAGCTGTTCATTTCCCTGCTTTCTTTGGAAAGAAAACCCCCTGCTGGGATTATATCATAGAACCATTATGAAACTGTGATTTGTGCAAATTACTGATGCTCACTTAGGAAGCAGAATTGTAAGCCTGTTGTCTGCATTGATTTTTCATTTTTTTCAGATTGAGTTTTGAGGTGCATGTTGTTAGTTTTAACCTGTATGGTTTGCTATCTGATCCCTGAGGAGTCATCTTTCTGCCCATGTAATGTACCCAAATTTTAATCAGGATACTTGAATAAGCTGGAGCTCCTGCACTGTAGATGAGAGACATTTTACTGATAAAGACCTTTTGGCAAACTCCTGGGTATTGAATTCAATTCGTTTTTCTGTCCCTGTCCTGCAGAGATTAGGATCTGCTGTTTCTGCACATGCTGCAGTCCTCTTCCGTATTCCACTAAGGCTAGAAAGGAAGGAAAGATGAACAGGAATTATTCTTCCTCTAGTTCCAGGTTTAATTTGTGAAAYGGGATCCCATGGTGATTTTTGATGTTATTCATAGCAATACAGTGGAGATAGTATTCTTTCTGTAAGAAAYAAAGTTGTTTCCTTGGGTAGGTTTGTTAGTAAAAATGAAAATATTTGCAAATGAYATTCATAAACAAGGAAATGTCCAGGTACTTTTTGTATGGTGCTGGGGGAGAACATCTCTTCCTTGCAGCTGAGACAGTGGTGAGACAGTGGTGGGAACCGCTGAGCATTGAACATGGCAGGAGGTGGGAGCAGGAGAGTAGGAAACAGCCTGTGTTTTTTCACAGTATTGGCCTCAAGTACCTGAGCCAGTTCAAGCATGTAATTGTTCCCAGGCTTCATTCCCCCTGTCTTTCTCCCTCTGTGCTGTAGGTGCTGGATCAGGATCCTTCTTAGCCATCATAACTTGTAGGTTCAACAGCAGGTATCTTGCAAGATGGGCATGAGAAACATCGATGGATTTGTGTGAACCACTGCATCTTTCTGTGGCGGCAAGATTCAGGCTGCAATTTTAACAGAGTTCACATTTATAATTCATGTGCATCATTTGTGAGGCCCTGTGTTTCATTTGAAGYGTATCTGATAACGTAACATTTCTGCATGATAAATCACTTATGTGTGGGTTTCTTTCTGAAAAACACTTGGGTGCCTTAACAAGGAAAAGCATGATACGGAAAATGCCAACATTTATATTACTTATGTTGGACACAGAACTGAATGCATGCTGCAAATGGGAAGAGAAGGTAACCTACATGTAATGGCTTCATGTTTTATGTGGCTGTGCTTTGCATCTATGATTACCACAGTATGAGGTTGCTAGTAATTCGGTTCCATTCTCCATTCCACTCTGGAGTTGATAATAAGACCGAATCTTTCAAAAATTCATTGCTTTGGTGTTAGGACACTGACCAAATAATCTTTGGACTTCTCTACAGATAAAAGTTTTGGGTTCCTAAACAATTTGGGCTAGGAAAACCAATACCAGGAATTTATGGATGGCTTTAGCTGCCTGCAGACATTCCCTATTTTGAAAGCTATAAGTTACCCAGGTGCGCAGTGTTCAATWTAGGCATGCTTGGCATTCCCTGTCTTGGTAGCATTAAAGCTTCTCAAGACATAGTTTATGCTGAAGCCTTCCCAAGATCTTTGGGAAGAGATCTGCCTGAAGAAGATCTTCTGAATCTTCTACAGAAGATCTTCTACAGGTCTTCTGTACAGATCTTCTTCTACAGAAAAAGATCTCTACAGATCTTCTTCTACAGAAGATCTTCTACAGATCTTCTTCAGAAGAAGATCTGTATCAGTCAGAATACTGATATATCTGTGAAGAATTACTTTTGATCTTCATTGGTATAGGGGCAAAAGTATTTTCACCTATTTTCTGAATTTGGTGGACAGAGAAATGCATCAAATAGTATTGCTTGTCTTGTCTGTTTGTTTAATKATTTATTTTCCATCAGTCTTCTTGTCACCATGTTTTTGCAGAATGTTTTCTCTGCCTATGTAAATTTTTATAATCTTGCCAGTCAAGTGGCTCTGACAAATATATTGCGGTGTCATTAGGGTTCRGAGACAGCTGAAAGTAGGGGTTGCTTTCCTTTTGATAGTTTGTTTTGTGTATGCTTGGAGTCCRCCTTGTAGATGTCTTTCAACTGAGGTTGTGTTGTTGCAAGATGACAACATAATCATTTTTATTAGAGAACRGGTTGTTGAGGCTTTAATGGCATAATGAGGTTCATTTTCATCTGAGCTGGTCCAAGGGAAATCTGCTTAACATAATGCAAATCATAGTGCCTTGTTTTCTACTAAAGTTCTATAACCCTGTCATTAGGTCAAGGTATGTATTTTAATTTGCTTGGTTTCTTGCTAGCAACTATAGCTGCAAAAATCACTTCCCACATGATTTTCATGCAGGCCTTAGTCACTACTTTTGAAAGGTATTTATTAGCACTTCTGTTGTCTTGCTGGGTGAATTTGGCTTTTGCACTTAACCTGATCCACCATCAAATGTGGAATTAATGAGATCAGAGGTCAGTAGAGAAGGAAGTGGAAGATGGGACTGATAATTTAATAAGGTGATTAGTAAAGGTCAGGACTGCAGTTTGAAAAGAATATTTTGTCTCTCTTTAGCATCAATCAAAAGAAAAAAACAATAGTGAGACTGACGTGGTAGTACCAAAGTGTTCTTCAGTCCTATTGTGCTCTTCTTTTTTCCAAAATCAAAGTTGTCTAGGAAGAACAACTTCCTAGAGGGAGATTAGATAGAGGGAGAGATAGAGAGGGAGATTTGGTTACTCTGCCCTCCATTGCTTTCTGTCCTGGTAATTTATGTTATAAAATGCAACCTTTTTTACCTGTAAGGTGTGTTGTCACTGTGTGTTGTTTCAGCTCTGTGTTCTGGGTCAGAGCTTGTCAGAGGCTGTCTGCTTGTCTGTGCCCTGAAAGCAGCAATTTGGTTTGAAGTTCTTAGCTGGTATTTTTGAAACAGTTGAGGTCGATAGGTTCAAAAACTCTCTGCAGGGAGTGAAAAGAGTGAACCTTTTTATATGGGGTATTAAACTTAAGACTTTTTTTTTTTTTTTTTTTTGCAGCTCCTTATATTTTAACTACCTACTGCCTGAGAGCTGCTCAAGAAACCTTTCCTTGTTCTGGACGTGCACAAAAAGAAAAGTGGCCAATCAAGTCCTTAGTCCTCTGAAAAATCAAGCTCCCATGATAATGCTTTTACATCTGTGTGTGTTTGTATGTACAACCCATAGTATTGCAGGTTACATTTGAACTGGATACAAGAGAGAGTGCAAGGACACCTGCCTGGGGACTGTTGGACAGGCATTTGTCCCATTCCTCCTTTTCAGAGTTAAGAGTGATGTTCATTTGCTTGTTATCACACAATGTTACGAGGCACGTGAGCTCTGTGGCACCTGTTGTGGTGTATTTCTGGTCCACACTTGCCATATGCTTTTCCGTAGCCTTTGGGACCATGTGGTCAAATTCCTGAGTGTTGTGCCATGGCTGCAGTAACGTCTCCTGCTATTGTGGCTAAGCTGTCCTCTCATTAAGTACATTTCTGAACTTGGCTTGACACAAGGTTCTTTCTGCATCTGGACAGAGAAGTGGCACATGTTCGTAGCTGTTTAGATGTACATATTGCTGGGTTTTATCCTATGTGGAGGCTTATTCAGAAAGATGATAGGCTCTGTTTACAGGCTTTTAGGTCTACTGTTCCCCAAATTAAGAATGGAAGATAACTGAACCTACCTAACTAGAAAACCAAGGTGAAGATGGGCTTTCAGTGCAGCTCAGTAACTTAACTGAGCTGGTAAGGAAGAGGCAGGAGAGTAACAGGTTAGCAGAGATGGAAGGCTGCTTCTGTAAAACCTGCATTGTAAATGGCCTTTGTGCTCGACAGCATGATGGTGACAGGTCAGCCTAGGATAATGACGATAAGAAATTCTTCACTGAAGTCTGGGCAAGCCCACCTGAGTGTGACTCCTTACTGATGCACACCATCACGTATAGGAAGCCTTGAATACCTGGTCAAGAAGTGCCGTGGGGAAGTGTTAGCAGAAGAGTTTGCAGTGAGTTGAGGTTTTGTGATTCCTCATAGGTTCTGCTGCAGGAACATGTGGGAGCAATGGTTTTTTTTAGGAGAAGAGGGATGAAGAGTCTGTCAGAACGCTGTTGTGTTGCATATAGGACAGCCACTGAAACTTCAGCGTGAGTGAACAACAGGGAGCCAAAGCGAGGTGTGGGAAGAGCGCTGTATCAACTAGTACATTGAGCTGCCATTATTAGTTTATGCCAGGTCAGCACTTTGCAGCATTTGGTGTGTTTTTGATCCCCTCTGAATAGCCTAAAGGCAGATTTACTGCACGTAAGCAGTACTGCCCRCGGTCTGTCTGTGAAACCCTGTCCACAACTTTGCTCTTGGATTTGCCTTGAACATTTAATTAAGCAGAGATGAAGTGCACAGTTACATATGTGAGTCTCTTCCATCACTAATTTCTTAATCCCTTGATTAGTATACAAGAACCAATCATGCCTAATGAACCTATTGGCTTGGTAACAGGGACTGCTTTTAATGTGCCTTCTCAACAGGGATTTTAGGACGGGATTATTTACTGAACACTGACTCTTGCTGATGCTTCCCCTGAAGAGCTTAAGTTTAGAGTTATTCTGCAGTGGTTGTTATACTCTTTGTATACCCTCTGCTTTTATCAGGATATGTTTTGTGGTGAGATAACTTAGTGAGATCTTGAGTGTTTTTTATGCCTTGTCTAATAACAGTGTAATGTGTTTTCACAAGGTGGTGKTTTTGCAAACTGGAGATCAGCTGATTTTAGAGCATTTCTGTCCCTTTTGCAGGAATATCCCCTTCATCTGAATAGGTCTTTGAGACAGAATGAAGGAGTGTGCACTGAAGAAGTAATGCCTTTTCTGTAATTCTGTAGAAAACAAAAATAATCAAGATTTTCTGATTAAATACTCCATTAGCAGTGGCTTCAGTGTTTGCTGCGTTTGATACTATYAGGTGTTTCTTTAAATACATTCATTTCTCTTGTTCCTGTTTTTATGTCACGTTTGTGAGGAATCTAGGAGGACTCCTTGCATAGYAGCTTTCAGAAACGAGGAAATTCTCCTTATGTGAAGCTGGTAGTTTTATTTTTCTTGAAGCTGACACTACAGCTTGCTCAGGGGGACTTTCTGAAAATGCTTGTTTTCTGTTTCCATGCAACAACTAATTTCTCTTTACTGACATGCATTCACAGTAGATTTCCTGATTCGAGTGTGTTTATATAAGCTTTTATTTGCACATTTCTCTTCAACAGTTAAATTTCACTGCCTTCTAACTGTCTTTTTTCTTTTCTTAAGATAAACTGTGTGACCTTCCCCCACCCTGACRTAATGCCAGAGCAGCAGTTGCTGAAACCCTCAGAATGGAGCTACTGTGATTATTTCTGGGTAAGCAGACAGCCAGCCACATGCCATATTGCAGCTTTTGAGCTTCAGCAAAAGTGGAACAAATAGCTTGACTTGTATTAAAAGGCACTTAAGAATTTGGGCTGAACTTCCACGCATTAGGGCAGAATGAGGAAGCCCTCTGAAGACTGCACAGAAACCAACCAGCCACTCTCAGTATGTGGAAAATTATTTGAAGAGTGCCCAGAAAGGCAGAGTGAGCTTGTCCAGCTGGAAGCTTTGCTCACGAAATGGAAAAGATGTGGGAAAAACTAAATATCTCAGTATCTCAGTTCAAAAGTGTGTGCAATTTGAGAGAGAGGGGATAGAGAGATAGATAAAGAGGGAATATTTAGGCAATGTTTCTCAGAAGGCAAGAGCTAGGTATGTACAATGATAACTAGAGGTATCAGATTTGAGACAGGCAGTCATGAACTCTGTGAATGCATCAGTCTGTACTACTCATTCCCACAGACTAGCCTGGAGGCCAAATGATTAGTAGTTTTTCTTTTTTTTCTCTTTTTTTAAGCATAAGAGCTGTGAAGGACAGGCTCATTAAATTCAGTAAGTCAGCTCTTAAATCAGCTTGTTCGATGTGGCCTCCAGCACAAGGAATCTGCAGTGGTTGTGTATGCTGTTTATGCCCTCTTATTCTTAGCTTCATTGCTAAAGGCAGGATCCTGAATTAAGCTTTCATTTGTGATGGTATAGTTGTCCTTAAGCATGGAGTTGATATAAAAAAGTCCTTTACTAGAAAACTTCACCTTTTTTGAGGAAAACCTCAAAATTGTTCACCTCAACAATGGATATTCCGTGTATTACAAATGTGTTTTCAATTAACTGTATTTTTAAAATATGACTTCTCTTTTAAAAAAATATTTTCTTGTTAGAGCTTTGACAACTCTTCCCCTCTTAGGTACTCAGTGTTTTCATTTCTAGGTCTGTACAGGAGACTATGATGAATTGCAGCTTACAGAAATGCACTAAAATGATTGTAAATGCTTATGTTAACATAATTAAAAGTGATTATGTTGCTATGTCAAAGTTGACAGTTTCTTCACTTGCTTCCAGCCTTACAATTRTAGCAAGCCATAGAGACAGAAATGGCTTGTAGGCTTGTTTCTTGCATATATGTCTTTTTATAGAGACTGCTGTGTTTGGTTCTTTCCACCTAAGGAAGTCACTGCTTGGCTTCTTAGCTGTATTTGGCCATATATTGCTCTCAGTGGAGCTTGACTGAAAATGGCCTTTGCTCTGCAATCTCTTATCCTTCCTTAGCTCTACTCCCAGGATTTCGTTTTCATTCAGCCTTGTGATCCTGTGTCTGACTGTCTTCTACTCTGATCCACTCATCCCTTTGCCTCAGTGCTKTACTGTCCTGCTGCATAACATCTAGCATGAGGCCTGCATGTAGCCATACATCTTAGTGTCGTGCATTGTTTAATGTGGCATTTTCTCTGTGTATATACAGCACTCAAGACATTGGAGCAAAAGCTGCAATTCTTAGGGGATTCTTGGGGAAAATTCGTAGGGAAGCCTTCTCTGAACCTGTGTGCTGGAAGTGGGTGAGATGTGGAGCTGTGATCTAATGAAAAGCAGAGAGAGAAAAGAATGGACAGAGGAAACGGCTGTTGTTCCTTGTTGTAGCATCCTGAAGTCAACTGGAGCAAGGGGTGAAAAGGGTAGTGAGCAAATGCAGTGAACAAACAGTGAAAGACAGAATGAATTGCAGTGAAGGAAGCTGTTAAACAAGTTGCTGCTTTACCCTGTTTCACAGTAAAGCTCTGCCGTCTGGTTGTATTTGTTTGGGTGCAGATCAGCTAGGGTAGAATTTTGCAGTTTGYTGAATCTTGTTTCTAATTGTGCTGCCACTGGAAGGGGCTGTAGCATCCTCTCCTCTCCTCCAGCTCTGTGTTCCCGTAAGCTCCCTTGTGTTAGCTCCAGGATCCATTTTTTTTTTTTTTGCAGGGTTGAGTTTTCAGGGCTCATGCTTGCTGGAGCCAGCCCATGGGAGTTATCAGGTATGAAAGGCCATGGGCAGAAGGGAAGGCAAGAATGCTCTTTTGGCTGCAGCACAGTCTTATGCTAGTTTAAGATATCTGTAAAATTGCTTTTTTTTTTCTTTTAATAATAATAATCTGGCAATAAAAGGAGGGGGAAAGAGAAATTGTTGATACGTTCCTCTGAGAGAGCTTGAGATGTTGCAGTTAGCAGCTTATATCACAGGAGGTGCTTGCTGCAAAATAGTTTTTGATATAGTTTGTTCTGTGTTGCCAGTTGCTCTATGGAGAGCTCAGACGGCCTTTCAGAACTGCTTCTATATATTTTTGATCCCTATATTTTTTCATTGAACTTCCTTTTCCTTCCAGGCTGATAAAAAGGATTCACAAGGGAATAATACGGTATCAGGATTTGAAATTCTTCTTCAAAAGCAACTTAAAGGGAAGCAGATGCAGAAAGAAATGGCAGAGTTCGTGCGAGAAAGGTAATTAGCACTTTGCTATCAAATTAATTATATCTGGCAAGACATATAGTTCTTTTGCTGACTTAGTTATTCTTTATATATGTTCATCACATAGCTTCAATTATGTAAAAGGGGTGCTGCTGGTTCTTAGAGAACATTTAGTATTTCTTTCATACCCATCCAGACTCTCCATTTTTTTCTCTCCTATTTCTTGCTCTGCCAACCTCAATTAGCCTTTTTAGCTGGGGGTAACCAAGGAGATTCTAAGCTATAGATTTGAGGGAAAAGCATGGGCATGTGAAAAACAGAGTAAAAATGACATTTAGAAATGAATCTTTTTATCTGAAACATAGAGAAGCAATTTGTTGACATGTAGCATAGGTGCAATTTCTGGGAAAAGATASAAAAAGCTGTCACCTGGGACTTAAACTGGTTATCGAGGTGAATGTTATATATAGGTATTTGGAGTGAACCTGGAGTGCTACTCGTGGTCCATTGCTCAGCTGACATGGSAAGTATACTGTGCACCAAACAAGCAGTTTATAGATGCTCACTTGAACCTATTTAGAGGGGTGATATGACATTACTTGTGAGAAGTGTCACCAGTATTTGAAATCATTTTTCCTTTGTCCAAGAAGGTATAAATCATCTTGAGKGTGACTATTAAAACTTGAGAACAAACCATAGGGGGAAAAAAACTGTATTTACCTGAGAGAGTGGCAGAGCAAGTAGCATTTTCACTTCTGGAGGCATCTACAGCAGTTGATAAAGCCAACATCTTCAACTATTGCCTCACTTTCGGTGCGTGCTTAATGCTTTCCTGCTTGGCTGCTGCAGTTGCAACTTGGCTGTGTTGATTTAAATCGGTAGTGGTGGGAGAAATGAACAGGCCAACAAACAGGAATCTACTGGAGCTTATGGGGCAGTTTGATCAGGCAAACTTACAAGTAGGCTCTTTTCATTTGTGGTTTGTTTTCATCCCTCAGTCTCTTTTCTGCTAAGATGGATGTGACAGCGGTGGAGAAATAAAAAATATAGCATAGCCAATAAAGACTAGTGTAAGAGCTGCTCCTTGTACCTTTGAAGTACAGGATTCAAATGAGAGATGCTGATGTGATTCATGAAAAACTGTGACCAAAGAAACCAGGAAGAAGAAAGGATTGCCTAGCAAAGGAAAAGTAAAATTGAGACATAGTCTTTCCAGAGCTATAATAGGAGGAGAAAACAAGCAGAATTGCCTGATAGAAATGGCCAGGAAAAAGAGGCGGGGGGAGGCGGGGAGGGAAGCTGCTCCAAGGAGACAATTATGTAATGAAATTTGACAGAGAATAAAAAAGGAGTATTCAAGAGGGRGGGAAAGTTGGCGTGACATGCAAATAGGCTGCTAGAGAGAAAAGAGAGCAGTTCTGACACTAGGAAGAGGTATGTCTGTGTTGTTACTAGCGGATTAAATAGGCATGTTATGARAGAAAAGACAGAAAGAGAGTTCAGTGTCTGTTGGGAATAGAGGTTTGGAATTGAGGTTGAAGATGGTCTAAATGGGGAGTTATAAAAAGAAATATTTTTTTTATTCCAGTTGGAACAAATGATTCACAGGTGCTGTGTATGGAAAAGGGTGTTAGTATCAGGCTGCAGAGATCATTAAAGGAAGTTAGAGCTCAGGCCTTTATCGAGCAGCTTTTGCATCTCTAACTAAGGGGGAAGCAATGGTGATTAGATTTATAGGATAATCATCAGGTCGCTCAGGGAATATTCCTATGAAGCCTGTTTTCTGAATGGTTAACTTGTAGGTATCATTCATGTGCAGAAAACGTCTTTCCATATATCAGCCTTCTGCAGCCAAGGCTCAGGCTTTTTTCTGGCTTTTCTGTTTTTCACGCACATTAAGGAAAGATAGAAACTAGGTAAATAAAGATAGAATAATCAGAAAAGTAGAGGATGGCTGGTAAAATGGTACGTTTGGCCAATATTTAGACTTTTCTGACTGTTAATTSTCATGTAACTGTAAAGAAAAATGGAAGTCTTTCTACACAAAGATACAGAAGCTGGAAAATAAAATGGGGATATTGAGATATTGGGTCATGTAACTGGGCATTAGCAGCAATAGCAGGCATATGATAGATGACTAATCGTTCTAGACATACAGTGACTGAGGAGAGAGCTAAAAATAGAAGAAAGATTAGAGGGAAAAAGAAGAAAATMATTGCAGATATAATAATGAAGATCTGTTAGAAATCTCCAAATCTGACTTGAATAAGAGAACAATAATCTTTAAAAGTCTATAGCAAAAATAGTTATGAAATTTCCTTTATACTTGCACACATTTTTTTGTGTGTGTTTGGATTAGAAAAAAAGTGCCAACAGTAATAGCAAGGCCTGAGGATTCTCAGACATGATATTTCTTTATCAAACAAGGAACAAGAGGCAATGCTAATTTAAAATCAGTTTCTTTCAGGAGATGTATTTAGGGAAGCTGCTTGCAAATAGTAATGTTAAACTGAGCAATTATGTGTTCATTCAATTCTTTTTGAATTACAAGGTAGGTGATAGGATATAATTAACAGTTTGAATTTTAATGAGACTTCAAGAAAAGGAGAAAAATAATTAGGAAGTTGGATAAACTGAAAGTTCAAGGATGTGGGTGTAAAGCATAGAAGGGATTACTTAAGTCAAAAGTGAAGATGTGGTCCAGCATTTGTGTTCAAGTAAATATTCAAAACCCTGCAGAGCCCCCCAAATAGAATGAGTCTATCGGGATATTAGGAGGAAACATTTTTGTTTGATTGATTGCTTTTCCCCAAAAAAGAACACTCTTTTGGACTTTTGACCATACATGCSTTTTAGCTGAGTTGGGCTGTGCTTAGAAAACTAAAAATATATAGCAGAAGATTATTTAGCCACCTGATATGAAAACATAAGACTTAGAACACTTTATTGAATCTGAGGAAGATCTGTCCAACCTAATGACTTTGTATTTTTAACCGCTGCAACCTTTTATAGCAATGGCTTCTGCGGTGCAGTTATTAACTAACTATAGGGAAAAAAAGTACTTCTTTTGCTGTCTGATAATTTCATTGTTGCTTCCTGATCTGGAAAAAAAGTGTAAAAATTTTCATAGTCGCACAGTTGACAGGGCTGTAGAGGTCTGTCGGATCTCCTCTTCTCCATGTTCCCCATGTTGTCTTAATCTATTTAGCTTTTTCTTGCATGACAGTCACATCAGATTATCTTTGCATCTCTTTTTCATATCTCTCTAGTTGTGCTAAAGCCATCGTAGGATAGCATGACTGGAAAGAGTGACTTATGGGTATGGGCATGCTATGTACTCTACCACAAAAAAAAGTGTAAGAGAGCAGGGAATAAATATCTGAAAAACAGCTAGAACTAAAAAAGTTAAAGGATTTCAGTATCAAAAATCTGATGGGTAATATTGATCAAAAGACACTTAAAATGCTTCCTTACACCTTGACCGTGTATCCTGCAGTCCTCGTCATGCCAAATGACAAATAATTTCTGCCCTGAGATTTCAGTGCTGCGCTTAGTTGACCACACAATGAGATTTTAAATTTTCTTACAAAACATTTGCAGTTGGTGCTTGGAAGAAAAAATGAATAATTTATAGATTAAGTAACTTAGGTGCTTATTTAGTATGTGTCTTGTTTACATATTTAGACTAAATAATTGCCAGGCTTGAGGTTCAGAAGATATTTTCCCCTGAGTCAGATGGATGGGACTTGTGAACTCTTTTGCTTCTCCTTCTGTTTTGCCTATACTACTTTTTCTAAGCTGCTCTGGCAGTATTACCTACAAACCCCCTCCCTTTGCAGGGAGCTATGTGCAAGTGAAGCCCTTGATCTATCTTGCTGTTTTTCTGACACATTATAATTGTAGTTTGGTCTTGTTATAGCAGGCATGGGAAGCAGCATTTGTGGTGTGGGAGTGAGGAGCAAAGGTAAACTGCTGACTGTGAACGTGAGCAGCTGGAGACCCGGCCCCAGGGATCAACCAGCAGGTTGGCCTGGGAACAGAGAAAGTCATTCTCACAGAGAGGAACTATTTGGTGGTAAATTAGTCAAATTTGGCAGTATATTTTCTTCTGTGAGATGCTCTAAATGGATGAATTTGTGTGAAAAGCACTGCAAGACAGTGATGTAAATATTAGAAAACAAGTAGTGTTGGTTTCCTACCAACTGCTGATTAGGCGCAGTGCTCACTCTACTGTGACTGTGCTGATGAGGGGAGGAATTTGGAGAAGGGTGCTGGCAGTCAGCTCTTTGGTAACAGCCAGAGACTGAAAACTGGAGCCTTTAAGTAATGGAGACAATTTCTGAGTTGAGTTGCTGTAGATTTTGTCTTGGCTTGTTTCCATTCTCATGGGAGGGGGAGGATGACCCCATGTACTGGAAAAGCGCTCTCATTCTGTTGCTTAACCTCTGCAGAGAGCTGAATATAGCCATGGGTCTCATATGTTGACATCCTGTTCAGCTAGTCTATCCTTTAAGTAGTCCAGAGTACTAGACCAGTCTTAGATGGGTTGGAGGGAATCCATTAGTCCTGAATATGACAAACTTAGCAGCATTTGTCTAAACACCTACTGCAAACGGGTGTGTGGAAAACTTCCCACCCTCTGTCTTCTCAGAAGAGGAAATAGGTTTGAAAACAGCCTCTTCTTCAGGATCAGGAGATCACTGTTCTTTCCAAGATGCTATACTGAGCAAGCTTATTGGAAAACCTACAGAGGTAGCCATTTGTCCTCCAGAGGAACTCTCTTGTACACCTTGCAAATGTTTAACTAGGAAAATAAACAAGGTGGGGAGGTAATTTAGGTTTTAGGACTGATGCATGTTATCTCTGAACTTCTTCTTTTCCCTGGTGTGCAATAAAACCTACTGTTGTCACCTTACTCGACAGTTACTGTCATTCTTCTCCCTGAAGCTGTTCCCACAGTACAGACAGCTCTTCTGTGGTGCCATCAGCTTCCTTCTTTCCTTAACTGAAGGCTTTCCCTCATAAAGGCAGCTTTGTTTCTTCTACTGTCGTGGTGCTCCTGAACGAATGGAGAGAGGAAAGCCAGCGTCCTGCTGCTGCTATAGGCAGGACAGGTGAAGAGGAGATACTGCACATCCTACACATCTGTGCCAACTCTGCAGTCTCTAACACRGAGCAGGAAGCATTCAGTGTCCCTAGGAAAGGTGCAGACTAGCACTCCAGATACAGGGAACAAGGGGAAGCTATTTATGTGTTGGGTGTTGTTACTTTTTCACCGTTTCCTCTTCCTCGATCAGAGGAAGCTGAYCTCTTGCTCATGCTTGGTTATTTTCTAAGCCTTTGGTCATCCTTATTCTCCTTGGACTCTTATTTTTCTTGTTGTGGCAGACCACACTCCCATGGTTGATGGTAGTTCCATTAAAAATGATACGGTATTGTTTACTTCAGTCAGTTTTTTTCCTGTATTACAGCATTCCTCCATATTTGCTTCAAGGATGGAAACCTCACATTTAGCAGCATACTGAAACATTAAGTTCTTAAGTGAAAGGAGGTTTATAGGTAAACCATATTGTACACTGAGAAGAGTTTGTCCTCATTCCTTGTGCTCTAAAACTGACTTTTTCTTGTGATTTTATCACGTGATCTGCTGCGTATATTTGTGCTCTTGCCACTGCATTGTTATTATGTGAAAGTGAGAGATGGATCCTAAAATGACTGCCAAACACTGAAAACAGAAAGCAAGATTCCTGTAGCTGGATCCCTTAAAATGCAGGCATTTTCTTTAAATTATGTGTTTGGGGTGATTCTGCCTTAATGTTTACTCATTACTCTTTTTATTTTCTGTGTGTTTGTGGGTAGAATAAAGATTGAGGAAGAATACGCGAAGAACCTGTCCAAACTTTCTCAAAACTCCTTGGCTGCTCAAGAAGAAGGGTAAGTTTGTGGGGAGAGGAGTCGGGAAATCACAGATCCAGGTTATATAATCTCCTGGGTAAGTGGTGGAGTAAACCGTCAAACTTTCTGGAAGGATTTAGCAGAAAACAAGGTGATGACTAATTATTGTGGATGTAGACAGAACAAATTATGTCAATGGAATAACAGGCCGTGTGGAAGAAGGAGTCAGCGTCATAGCTCTTAATTTARTGTAGCTTTTGACAATGGGAGATTCTTGTAGACAAATGAGAGAAAGGTGGCCTAAATAGAAACTGAGGTGCAAAGTTGTTTGAGAAAGTCTACTGTTTACCAACAGAAAGTAGTTGTGGAGTGAAATTCCATAAGGTTAATCCTTCGAGAAATCAACTGAAAAAAAAATGAAGATTTTATGCTTTCACAGGATGGGAAAGATAGTTATATAACAGTTTGTGGGAGAAAGATCTGGTTATAGTGAATCACAAGCTTATTCATCAGCAACTTTACACTAGTGTCTTAAGAAAGCAATTATACTGAGATATGTAGAAGGAATCTCTCATATGATTTATTCCTTTTTGGTTTAAAAACTGGAAGGCTTCAGCTGGAAGGCTGTGTAGTTTTGATTATTACATTTTTAAAGCATCTAGGCTATTGGAGAGTCTAGAGGAGGGTACCTAAACGGATCAGAGTCTGGGAAGCAACATCTCTATAGGAAGGGGAAGGTGGAGAGAAGACCTGATCATTTCAAATACTAACAGGCTTTTCCAAGGAGAAACAAAATAATCTGTTCGCCTAAAGTAAGGTATGAAGTATAAGGGACAATGGAAAAAAATGAATAGGTGAAAATTTATTTTTAGTATTAGGGAAAAATAAAYTTTTAACTGTGAGGATAAAATGCTGAAATACGGTGCTAAAGGAGATTTTAGAATCTCTGTAAGTGGAGGTTGTGAAGAACAGTATGGTGTATGGTCGAAGGTCTGTTACATATAATATAAATACAATTCTGTCTTAATTTAGAGAGAAGAACTATCTRATATTTGCTATCTCTTTTCTGTGATTCTGCTGTGCATGATATGGTATTAAACATTGGTATGTGATGTGATAAACTGTCTTACAAATTCTACCAACATAATGGTTAGAAGACAGGATATTGATCGTTTTGGTTTTTCTTTTTTTTTTTTTTTTTTTTAAGAACACTGGGGGAGGCTTGGGGGCAACTGAAGAAGAGTCTAGCTGATGAAGCAGAGGTTCATCTCAAATTCTCCTCAAAGGTAAATTAATTCTCTATTTTTTCAAAGTACTTTGTGCTGCAGTTGATGAGAGTTACTCCTTCGGTGGCTATTAATGGGCAAAATACACATGCRTGTAAAACATACTTTGAAGAATGGAGACGTTGGTGAATGAACSTCTGAATTTGGTGAATGAAACTGTTTTTCCTGTCAAAAACAATTTATTTAATCTACCTGATAAGTAGGTTAGACTAGATCTAGCCCTTTGTTTTTCTCATAATAAGAAAGACTATGGTTCTAGCCTTTATTTACCTACAGGTCTGAATGCTAACCCTTTGAAGCAAGCTATAGCTTGTAGAGATTACTTCTGTAGAGGAATTAAAAATAAAAAATCATGGCTGCTTGAAAAGAATCTAGCAAATCTAGCTGCAAGGATTACAACTGAGGACTCTTACTTCTTAGCATTTGTAAGCTTTCTGAGAAGTGCAATGGGAACTTACTTGGAGTTATTTTTGGATCTTCTGTCAAGTGATGCCCAAGGAGATTTCATCTAAAAATTATTATATTTATCTGTTCTTTTACAGCACATGTGACATAATCTTGCATCCTGTTACGTTATGTTAACCTCTGTGGGTGATCACGTTCAATATAATTCTAGATATCTAAGCACAACAGTTATGTTCTGGAGGAAAATTATAGCTCTGTACTGTTTATGAGTGATTATGCACAGGTTACTAAGGCAGCTAGCAGTTTCCTTGGTAACCCACTGTTCTTTTTCAAACTTCTACTACTTCAGGGTTCTAATTAGTGAAATACTTCTTGCTCCCTGTTGGCCTCACAATTTGATTTTCAAGAGGAAAGAAAGCACTGTGGAGTGGAGCATGCARGTAGTCAAAAGAACCCATATATCTGGGTTCTTTCATTGTTCTACTTCTCCATAAACCCTCCACAGGAACTCCTGTATCATCCTCTGACCTCCTTCCACACGGCTGCTTTATTTGCTTTGGAGGATAAGCAGCTTCTAGTTCCAGCTTTATTCTATTGACAGGACACTTTACATTTATTGATTATTGCTATTATTCACAGAAAAGCCATTCTTAAATATAAGTGAATTTCTTAYTGATAGTTGAATGAAACCAGGCAGTATTATACACAAAGCAAGCAGCACAGTGCAGAATATACCAAGAATATTCAAAAGCAAACCCTACTATGAAGATTCTAAGCAACTTTGATGGCACTCCCTCAGCTCAGTTAAATGGAGAGTTATGGAGAGCGACAGCACTCTCAGGGCATTTCAAAAATGACATGTTGCTATACTACAGATGCCTGTGCAGGCTGGAATGATAGTTGTAGACAATATATGAACACACAAAGAATCCTTCAAGAAGGCCATCATTGTATTGAATCCTTTCTCCATCCATTGCTTAACTGCAGTAAAGAGATTCTGGTTTTGAAGAGTAGATTTTAGTAGTATAAATCATAGTGAGGTGAATGGGGCTGAATGTTACCAGACATTCCATAAATGGTGCTGATAGAGCAAAGAACATAAGTACTTGGGTGACCAGAAAGAGTTTTGAAGTTGGTTTCTGATAACTCATCTGCATAGGTTCTCTGGTTTATCAATTCTGTGTCTCTGTGTTTCTGCCTAAGGCTCTCCTATACTCTTACAGATATACACAGAGAAATTTGTCTTGAATACCTATAAGGATTGAGATTTCATAACCYCTCTGTTCAGCTTCTTTCAATACTCCACTACCATCTTTATGCTATTTTTTTAATGATATCATCCTGAACCTTGCAACACTCAGTTTATGGCCGTTGTCTGCTATATTGCCTGTCCATAAGAAGCAGCAGCTCTATTTTCTGTCATATTATATGATCTTGATTGTTAGCTGTTAACTGTTAGCATTTCTTCCTTTTCGTTTTCATTATCAGCTTCAGAGCGAGGTAGAGAAACCCCTGCTCAACTTTAGAGAGAACTTTAAGAAAGACATGAAAAAGTGTGACCATCATATTGCAGACTTACGGAAGCATCTGGCCAGCCGCTATGCAGCAGTTGAAAAGGTGGGAGCAGAGAACAAAATTGAAATTTTAATAGGATATTGCCTGGGACAAGAAAACAATTGTCTCTCAAAAAGTTTGTTCTACCACAAAAAAAAAAAAAAAAAAAAGCTTCTTCTGAAGGTTTTCTGTTATAACTTATGCATAGCTGGGCTCTGAACATGGTGTTCTGCTTAGTTGAGTTTTGGCAAACACAAGGCTACAGCCAGTGCTAAGCTGTTATTGGTGAATTACTTTCCCATTTCATCTCCCCCTCCTACTTCAGTTTAAGGAATTTTGAATACATTTGATTAAAATATTCCTCACTCATGCCTAGAAGTCACATGTTTTGCTCTTAAAAATTATTGCAATGGAATAGCAATGATGGGTCAGTTCATCTATCTCAGTATCCTCTCTCTTACAGTGACCAGAAAGAGGTAGCCAAAGGAGGCAGCTCAGACATGTAATGAGAATTAGCAAAAAACTKTTCCAGTTTTCTGTGCCTCATAGCAAATCTTGTTATTTTAAAACCCAAACCATAGCAGCACTCTAGAATCTGATACTATTTCAATTTAAACATCCCTCTGAGGTCATGCTTTACAGAATGTTATGTCTAGGAAAGATGCTGTCTTATCAGTAACTGGCAGAAAACTGTATACCTCTGCCCCTGTGATGCTGTCAGACCAGCTATACCAAATTATTTGTCTGTTTGCTGTTGTTTCCTCAGTATTCTCTTGAGAATGAGCTGCAAATAAAAACAGCTTAGCCGGCAGCCCATGTTGGGACTTTCATTAAAGATTTGAATACTCGTAAGAAAATTCTCCCAGGGACAGTTTGTAGTAGGATATACAAAACAATTATACTATATATGTGCAGGGAAGGCATTTTTCTCCAGCCTAATAAGTTCTTGACAGTCATACCTGCAAGAAAACAGTCATCAGTAAGCATATTGAAAAAATGAATCAAAATAAATAGCCTCATCTCCAGTTATGATGGATGAAAATACAACTTCTCACCAAATCCTTTTACTGCAGCTCCCTCTTGTGACCTGTCAGGCTAAGTCCACATCCTCTAAAACTGCGAATTGAAAAGCATAAAGTAGTTGCTTGCAGAGCACTGTAACTCACAAACCAGTTTGGCTTTGAAAAACAGCATTGCAACTCAAAAACTGGTATGAATATAGAAAACGGCAAAGTTCTAAGAAAATACCAGCATCCAAATTACCTTTAAATACTCAGAGTGAAGCCTGTTTGATAACAAAATGAATGGTCTGCATGAAACAAGTGATTTTGAATTTATGTAGATAGGCATTGACAAGAAGCATATGAGGGAATTAGGATTATTCAAACACTTCACACATTTTCCTGTATAATTTTAATAATTATACAGACAAATCTTAATTTAAAAGCCTGAAGAAGTTTAATGTAAGGCAGTTTAAAGTAAACCTAATGCGGGCTTTAAATTCTTGATTTCTAAAATAGGAATTACCATTGGCTAAATCAGTGTTTCATAAATAAGCCTAACACTTCATGGTTCATTTTAAATTTATACTGAAATTCAGGAGGTACTTAAATAGAAATTCTGTAAGATATTTGAAATTCTTCCCAGGATATTAGGTGGTAAGAAAAGAAATAAGTGAAAGATTTGGTGACGTTGGTTATGTATTTGGAAGGAATTTCAGATCTCTTATTTGTTCTAGGAAAAGCAAGAATGAAACATGAAAATCTGATGTTGCATGTTGTACTCTGCCTTTGTAAGGGTAGGTAGTAAGAGACCTGGGAAGAGTACAGATGCTTTCCTAATTTATCAGTAAAAAACATTTTTATGGTGTAGTGGGTCACTTGAATACCACACAGGTTCCTAGGAACTTRAATCATCACATTCCAACTTTGAGGAGTCTGTTTTATGTAGAATCCCTGACTTCTTACTGAGAAATGTTAGTATGGAAGAATCACAGACAGCAGAAAGCAATTGGACACACTTTTCCTATAAAACATCTGACTATCTTTTAATTACTCCAAGGCCCGGAAAGCCTTGACAGAGAGACAGAAGGATCTGGAAATGAAAACTCAGCAGCTGGAGGTGAAACTCAGCAACAAGACAGAAGAGGAAATTAAAAAGGCCAGACGGAAGTCTACCCAGGCAGGTGAGTACATGCATCTCTGGCCTGCAGGATGTAAATATAGTACCAATAAGCCAGCAAGGAGGATGTAACAGGAATGAGATGTGCTGTAATTATGTAATTAGCCATCTATTCTCTTGTTGCAGGGAGAGGGATTGCGCAACTGATTTTTTTTTTTTTTTTTTAAGATTGCAATTGAAGCAAGCAAAAGACTTTCAAATTCATCTTCATTTTTGGCACTTTATTGGCCAATGTTAAGCTTGATTCTTCCTAATGGAGAATCAATTCTTAATCCTAAGTTAATGCATAAAGGTCTTTCCATCTCATGCTTTTTTTTCACCCAATCACTTGATCTTCTATCAAACATCAAGTACATTCTTTTTATTTGAGTTCTTTTTGTTGTGCCTATCAAATACCATACAACAGAACTGCATTCAGCTCCACAAGGATTGAACTTCAAAAATTCCAGATCTGCATACAAAAGATGAACTGCTACTTCCTTCCAAGCTCCATAATACATGGCTATAATACATGGCTACTAATGGGTTGCTGTCTTGAACTTTTCAGGAGATGACCTCATGCGCTGTGTGGATCTTTACAACCAAGCCCAGTCSAAGTGGTTTGAAGAAATGGTGACCACCACTCTGGTATGTAGCTCTGTCTACCATCTTATGTTTAAAACACAGTGAAGTTGTAATAGCTTATAACCCATAGCTAGTCACAGAGCAAAGCAGTGGGAAAAAATGAAATGATAAATCTTCTACTGTGTTTCCTATTTTTGGTTCCAAGGAAAAGTTGTGTCATTTGAGGAAAGAAGAAAAAACTGTTTTCTTCGCAGAATACATTAAACCTTGCAGTTGGTTAGAACTACTGAGGAGCCAGGATGCTGGAATTAACCTCAGGCAGAACGAGCTAATGAGCAGGGAAGACAAGGAAAGAGACGTGATAAATTATTTAATCCATTTTTATATAAATATATATATATAAAATCCCTAAATTTTATTATTTCTTCCTAACATTACCAGCTCACAAGATCAAAAGACACATGATTTATTTGCCATTTTTTCTGTTTCTCTGAAGATAACACAGTGCCCAATATTCTTACTCAGGTGTTGTACCTCCAGAGGTAGTTACCAAGATGCCATCATACTCTTCTGCTTTTGATGTAGTGTTATTCTCTGAAATACCTGTGCTTTGACTTCATGGCATCTGCCTTACATCATTATCAAAAGTGGGAAATCGAAATGTCTTTTGCATGCATATTTTTCCCTCTAGAAACACAAAACAGGAAATTACTCCAAATAAGGAACACGGTAGAACAGCACTGAGCATTTGGAAGTGTGTATGTTCAATATTAGACCATCTTAAGTAAATAAAGGCAGATAGATGAGAACATCCAACAGATAAATCTCTTTTGAAAGGCAGAAGGAGAGAGAAAAAGTTCTTCTCTGCAAATCAGGGATATAACTGCCGGGTTCAGCTCTAAAGCATGACCCTGAGACAGCAACACACTAACTGGCAAACGTTCCTTTGTCAGCCTTCTTCTAGGCTTTCCAGCTCAGCTTGCAGTAAAAATACTTCTTTTTCCCTTTCAGGAACTTGAGAGACTAGAAGTAGAAAGAGTGGAGATGATTCGGCAGCATCTTTGCCAGTATACCCAGCTGCGGCATGAGACAGACATGTTCAACCAAAGTGTAAGTCTGCTTTCTACTCAGCCCTTTTGGAGTTTACTGCACCTCATCTGAGCAGAACGGTGCATATTCTCATCTGACTGGCTTTGTGGAAAAAAGAGATGTGAAACAGTTTTACTGATGAGGGAAGAAGTATAATATTAAAGAAAAAGACTATTTTTCAAATATTGAGATACAGAGGATGTTTGCTGATCTGTAATATATGGGTGGACTTGATGTAAGGTGTATACTAAAGTATGGGAGTCAAAGGCTGATTGGCCAATGCCTGGCCTAAGAACCCTGTCTCTGCTTGATGTTGGAAGCCTGCCTTCCTCTGCTTGTCCCTGTTAGGCTTCCCATTTAGACTTGACTTTGGTCCACGCACTCTCGAGTACATGGAGTCCTCACTCATCTGCAAATGAAATGCAGGCGTGTCCATTGCTGCTTAAGACTGCATTATAATGACTGTCTCTACTTGAAACATGTTTTTGACATTTTGATTCTTTTTTTGTTCCTTTTAGACAGTAGAGCTTGTGGATCAGTTGCTCCGGAAAGTGGATCCTGCCAAAGACAGAGAACTGTGGGTAAAAGAACACAAAACTGGAGATATCCGACCTGTGGACATGGAAATATAGACTGATCTATAGTTATATGTGATGGGTCCACTGAATTAACCAGGCTAATTCTTTTCTTTTTTAAAAAAAGAGTCAGAAGAGCACAGAGAGAAGGTTTTTCCACTACCAGACACCTTGTAATTTATGCCTGCGCAGGCTATCTCTGTTACATTTAGTCATTCAAATGGTCCTCATTGTGCTAAGCCTTAAGCACCAAACATTCCAAGGGTTTAGAAACCAGATGTGTACTTCCTACCAGAGGTTCCCAATTGCACGCAGCTTCCAGAAGAAATCTGCTTTCTGGTACAGAGAGCTGTATTCTTCAAAGACTTTGTGCTACAACCCTTGCATGACTCTTTTTATATAGTTATGTTAGAACAACCATGCAATGAGCCTCTGGCTCTGAAGTAGATAACTGTTTGAACACGATGCAGGAAGCAAGGAAGTCCTGAATCCCAGGTCTGTCACTGACTGCTTACATGGCCATAGGCACCTCAATTAACTTTTCTGACTTTTCATCTATAATAAAAACGCTTCTCACATTAGTGCTGTGAGGATGCATTTATTTTTTATAATGCAGTTTCCCATTATGACAGTGAAAGGACGACCCTTTTCCAAAACAGAAAATAAGGCAAAAGGCAAGAGAGAAAACTCACGTCCTTCCAGTTTTATACTCCCCCTCAGGGATGCATAAGCCCACTAGTATAATAATTTTTGTTCCAGGCTAATTAATATTAAGATTGAAAGTGTTATCACTGTTACTTATGAGAAGGAGTTGGTTATGCTATACCTACCTCATTAGCTGTCTGAGTGCCCTCAATGGCAGGAAGAGGTTATTTACCAAGAAATAAGTAAGATGTTCAAAACTTTTCCTGCTTATGCAGGATGTTTTCCCACAGTATCTTTTCTTGAACACAGTTTTTCTTATATTTTGTTTAAATATAAGATTTAAACTGGCCTTTGTTGGTTCCTTCAGGTGAATAATCACAGCCTTCAGATGCCCTTAATTGCAAAGTCACTGCTGAGTTCTTGTCTGGGTAGACTGTGAGTTTTAATCTTTTTATAGCTTGATTTTCAAATGTGCCATGTATCCATGATTCTAGATTGCGTCAAATGTAGATACAGRTGCCTTCTGCACTATCAGATTTTTAACCCCAGAGTTTTTCTTGTTACCCTTACTGCAAACTACCAAGTAATCACCTCTACTCTTGGCACATAATGTTGTGTAGTTCGGAGAATCATTTTGCAAAGCCATTTGTTTTCTTCTCCCACTGTTACTTGTTATTTATTGTTGACTGTTGCTGTTGATACATTTTCAGCATTTCAGATGGTGTCAAGATTCTCAAGATTCTTGCTTTATATTCAACAGAAACCTTGATTCTCACCACTGTGGCCTTTACTCAGTGTTTACTGTTTTGTCTACAGTTTCCCAAAGTGTATTATTTGATTTGATCCACAATCATGCTGCACTTCATCTCATTATTAATATATATATATATATATATATTTTCCCCTTGGCACTGAATTGCTGCTTTTTTAATCCTACTTCTGTGTTTTTATTAACAAATCTCAAAATGCTGTGACCAGGTGTTTCAGCATTAATACTCCCTTTTATAAATACAAAGTGAGACACAGAGAAGCATTATCTGAAACATATTCTGAATATTGCTGCAGTGATTATTTTTCTGGCTTGTTATTTCAAACCAATTTTCATTGCATTATCATCTTTTTCCCTCTTATGCAACCATTTCTTTGCCAATGTAGATTCACAGAAAAAAAGTCTCTAGAAATCTCCGATGTTCCAGTCCCTTCCTGCAAACGTCTCCTCATCCCCCTCCACCACTGTAGTTCTGCATAACTTTATCAGCTGCAGTTGTCACAATCATTGCATATTCAAACTGTCACTGTGCTCTGGTGTTCCTGATTTTTTGACCTGACACCTACATAATTGTCCTTCAGTTACATATTATCCACAATACATAATTTGTGACTATAATTTTATTCTCTGTGTGGGAAGCATCCAGCACACGAGAGCCTGAATCTCTCCTAAGCACCTTCAAATACCTTTGCAATACAAACAAAATATTTGTCTAAGCACTGTTGAGTCTTTGAGCTCTGTTAGACTGAAAAAAAAAAAAAAAAATCCTGGACTCCTCTTCTGCTTTTCAAACCAGGAAATTTTATCCCAATCTGACCTTTTCAGTCTTACTATTCAGGCAGTCTCTATCCTTAATACTATATATAATGTTTTGGCATACTGATGTATATTTTTGCTATGTCAACCATGCACTTTGGAGGACAGGYACTCTTTCCACAGTCCACATTTCAACCAAAAACAAACCCCTCCCTCACCTTTCAAAAACCCTCCTACATCCAAAAGCTSATAGAGTACTTAAGAGTTAAAATCTCACCCAATCCTTATATTCTCATATGTGTTGTAATTGAAATGAACAATCTTGAGAACACCTCACCATATTTTTTAACTCTTGATTGCAGAACCAAACCAGTTGTGCACTTTATACAGTATTCTGCTTAATAGATACCTGAAATACTCTGTCATCAATTACATCTTTCCCTCTTCTTTTCATATATATTTGTTATTTTATCTATTTTGAACTGGAAATACTGTCTATTAGCACAGATATGTCTCAGGGCAGTTTTTATGCTACTCTCTATTCTCATTTGTGGTTTCTGGTGATTTTTTTTTTTGCTCCAAATACTGCTAGTCTTTGGTCCATTTGAAATGTTATAGAAATGTGAGCTTGCAGACAGCCATAATTCTCTTGACAGAAGCTGTGTCCTTTTTTCATATCCATAATCTGAGGAGATCACTTGTACCTAACTTTTACTTACTGATGGTTAATCTTCACCAGACAGAGCAAGCTCACATGGAACTGCAACAACAGGTGGAATACTTCTTATATTACAGGACTTTAATATGTAATTGGTGAAAATATTGGAAGTTTTGTTGTTGATATTAGACAGTTTTAAGCTTATTTCTGTTAAGTGGAAACCCCTTGCAATATCACACTACAGTTACTTGGGATCAGTGTTGGTCTGTTCCCTTCTTTAATGGATCCTCAAGTGGACTGTGAACATTATGCTGTCTTACAGGCAAGGGAAGGCTCAAGACCCTATGCTTACGAATGGACAACAACTTTAATCTTTGAAGCAGAGCATAGATTCTTATCCTGTTTTTATTCATTCTTGAGAAAACGATGCTAAGAATTCCTCCTCAGCACCCACTGAGTTGCAGAAATACAGTTATTCCCAGCCCTTCCTCATATATTAACTCATTATAAATAGCTTCTTTCCCATGCCAAGATCAAGCTTCATATTAGGTTACAATAGCTAGCATCTCCAAAGCATTGTGATATATTAATGTAAATGAGTGACAGGAATGACAAAATGGAAGACTGAGTACATGTTGAGCTCAGGGATCCCCTTTTCTTGCAGATGTTCCACATATCTGTTGATAGTTTTTAATATTTTAGACATCTCCTGATAGCAATCTTTCTTGCTTGCTTGACACACTCTAAATCTTGGTAGAGCTATATGATCATAGACCAGAAGGCAAGCTTTTGATTAATGTCATTTGTTTTCACATAAAGAAGTACAATAGTGAAAATTTGCCCTTGATTCTCATCTAATAGTTCTGCTTGTTCTGGTCTTTGWTGAAATGAAACATCTTTGTTTCAGAATGCGCCCTTTGTTGTACAGCTCAGTCTATCTACAGAGCATTGTTGCAACTTGTCCTGTCCTGTCAAGCCTTGTTCTCCAGTGATCTCTGATTCAACCGGAGCTTTCTTCCATTGCATGAGCTAGAGGGCTTCATGAATTATGGCTGCTTTGAATCATTTTGGTATCCAGACATAAGTGCCAGAACAGGTGAGTTATTAAGCAACTATAACCTCACCTACCTCATACAAAATGAGAACATGCTATTCATCCTCCAGAGCAGCCTGCCTGCTATCTTCTAGGCCATCTCCTGGCACAATTTACTTAGTGGAAAGTCCTCCTTCTTTGAAGTCTTTTTCCAGGGTTTTCTTTCAACTTTTTTTTGGTAAGAAAATTAATTCTGGATCCAAGGTGTTGGCATTTTCCTAGATGAATTCCCAAGTGAACTGAAAGTGATGAGTATTTTACCACAGGAGCCAAATGTATTCTTCCATAACTGGAAGGATTCCAGTTTCCTTCCTAGAAGACCTTCCAAGAAGGCCTAATTGCCAACCTGTTTCAGGTTCACTTACTTCCATGACCCACATTTGTTTGTCACTTCTTCATTTGGAACTTCTTGAAGATCTTCAAGCATTCTCATCTAGGAATGCTATTGCATTATTTGATACTGGGATCTTTCAATATTACTTTTAAAATAGGAGAGAAAATGTGTGAAGAGGCAGAATGGCAATGAAAAGATCTATGAAAMCCCTTGTTCTGTTTCTGAGATATTTTTCCCTTTCTGCAGACCTACTTGAGCTACAGAGGGGCAGCTGTGCTCCCGCCTGCTGCAGTTACAGTAAGCTCTGAAGTTGTTCTTTTTGTRCAGAAAAGGTAGTGATCCAGCTTGTTCTCTGTCTCTCTTGTGCTTTATTCATCTGTGCCATTTCATTCTGCAGAATTAGCAGCTTTTCACTTTACCTCACAGTCATACCGTGTGATGCCAGTTTGGTTTGTGTACCTGTGCTTTGACAGTGAGCTGTATTAAAATCACCCAGTTTTTCTTGCTTTTTCTTTTTCCTAGCAGGTATTTTCTGTARAGCATTCACAGGAAGCTGGCAAATGCTCATTAGTAGTTGTTATTGCTCAGACTTTCTCAGAGTATCATCCTGGTTGTTTAAGGCATTATTTAAGTAGTTGCTGCAAGTTAGAATCCTTAAGTAGGAACTTACAGTGTTCTTTTGACCTGTTCTCTAGAAGGGCTCAGAATTCAGATTTCTAGGAAGTCAACAGGGAGTATGTCGGTGATGAGACACCTCCAAAATCAGGCTACGTGATTGCAAAGCCTCTTCTTTTTTTTCCCTTTAGGCTTCAAGTAGAAGATAAACCTTGAGAAACAAAACCCTCAAACACTTTAATATATAAGACCTAGCTGCTATATGTATAATTTTGAGCAGCTCTGTGATAGACACTGTTTCAGGCTATGTCAGGAACATGGTTCTGGAGCTAGCACCTGCAGGTCTCATGGTTCTGGTGTTAGAATACACCTTGCAAGGCAAGGTTAAAACTGGCTCTGCTCATCCGTTTGTTGAGTTGCACACAGGGAGAGAAGGAGCACTGCTTACCCAGCTGGGGCTTTCTCTGTGAAGCACCTTAGAAATACAGACAGCACCTTGAAGGGCCCCCTGGTGTGAGTTGATGTAACTTCATGGCGCAACCCGTATTGCTCCGTTCGGAACAGAAAAATAAGAAGAAAAAAGTGTTTTGCACTGTCACAGCCTGCAGGGTCCGTTCTCAGAGAGGAGAGTCAGATGTGCTGGCAATCCYACACACGCTCAGTAAGAACACTGCTTCAAAGGACAGTATTAAGAGAAAGGTTTTCAAAATAATAAACTTTCCTGATCACTGAGCTTTCTGGAATGTATGCAGGYGTCTTGCTCCACAGCACGTGTTGGAGTAGAGGTGCACCATTRCACTGACCTGACCTGAAGCTGGGGAGAGATGTATCGAGCTGACTTGCAGGATTCTCCAAGAGTTGCATTAAGGATGATGTATTCCCACATCAAGTCCTTGACTTTTCTGTGGTACTACTGTATAAGGAATAGCCCTCACTTTGTTTCATACTGCATCTTATTCACATAAATATGCAGGATCCAGTTCTGATTTTTCCTTTTCATTGTTACTGTAGACACATCTCCCATCACTGRCCTACACCAGTTTTCAGGACTTTTTCTTTAATTTTGAATTTTTATATAGCATCTCCGATGCTTTAATGTGCTGACCAAATTTTATGTTTTTAGATATTTTCTGAGAGGGAAGAGTGCTTGTTTTTTATAATTTTTTTTCCCTTTTATTTTTTTTTTCTTGCTGCCTACTGTGTTTGAAAGTGCAATGACTTTTATTTGTGCTATTTAGAGTTTATTCTTTTTTCCTGGAGATTTTTTTTTTCTGAAGGGACCAACAACATAATATGACTTAAATTTTTAATCCCATGCATTCCTCAGGCTGAAAGTTTTTGTGCCTAACTAAGCATCTAATTCTAACAATCATGCACTGATAAAAACTTTCAGAAACTATTAAAATTTATATTTTAAGTCAATAGCATAATAATCACAGGAAAAGAATTGCATAAATTTGAAACATTCCAATTTAATTCCTTCAACTTATATTAAGTTGAACTATTTTTAGGTATATCATAAGAGACAAACTCAGTGGAATTTCAGAACAAAAGCATTTCAGTTGCTGTATTCAGGTTTAGTGAGCAGATAACACTATAATTTTGAATACATATAATCTTTCAGGGCTATTGTTTCACAAATAGTGGAATAATAGCTCGAACTGCAACTATATGAAAATTCAGCCAGCAGTTGCCCCCAAAGTGCCTCTTTGMATTGTACCTCATACAACTATATAAATTACATTGATTCACCCTATAAATTTCCAAAACTCAGGAGCAGCCAGGATGCACAGATCTTGCAGGATTCCCAACACTCCTTCCTTGCTCTGCACTGTGCAGTCTTTTAGGGTAATCACATATCAAGCAAGTGTACATTTATTGATCTGATCATTTACCGTCAAGCACAGGCATCATAAATTCTTAGTGCTGAAAGTGGATTAGGAAATGTTAGGAATGTTAGTTTTAAAAGCAACTGTATTAAAGAATGGTTGCTAGCCAAATTTTATGACATATCCTTCAGTACAGAGGTATCTGCAGAATGAGCAAGAAATTTTACATAAAAATAGATGAGTTAAGGGCATCTTGGACGTAAGTAATACTATTTAAAAAAAAAAAAAAAGGCCTCTTTGAAACAGTTGCTTAAATTTTTCTGGTACTGGAAGTGTAAAGCTGAATAGTGCTTCTGGGGATCTCATGTATGCATGACATGACAATCTAGTCATTCAAATTCAGGAATGTTGGCCTGAAATCTCTTGTTCCTTTGGACTTTCTGAGGTGATGGCTGAAGCTAAGAAATTTTCACGTCCATTTACCATTCTGTTATTCCAACAGGGGAAGAACGCGTTAGGGACAACATCTATCATTATTAAATAAATAAATAAATAAAGGCAGGTACTGCAATTGGACAAATAGTTTCTCATCCTCAATAGTTTCCTTTCTTTCAGCAGTCCAAGACAGAGTGAAAAATTCAATCCTAAATGCAGGGATTCAAAGGCAGACCTGATCAATAGTCRTATACTAAGAGTTTTCTACTAAAATGAAGTTGCCTATTTGGTCATTTTGTGTAACTTTTGCTAAATGCTTTTCAAGTTTTCGGGAAAGTTGTCTTTTGCCAGTACTAATGACTTCTTTATAAAGATGTTTAACCAAAATTTTATATCTTTCCATRAATTTTGGCTAAATAGATCTCTTAAACAGTTTATGTATCATGCAGCCTCTGTCTGGGTAACTCGTAAATATTGGATCATGGTGCAAATTATGATATGGCTTTTGTTCAGTAAAGATACATGAAGGAATCACAGAAGAAACTGAATGCAGAAAAGGTTTAAGAGGGCAGATCTTCAGCTCGGGTAAACTGGCAAAGTTTCATGGAAGCTAATTTATGTCAGCTGTGGATCTTGTCCTTCAACATTGAAGGTATTTGCTATACATATTTTTTCTGTCTTAGTGTAAAACAATTTCATATGGTTAAACTGTATTTTCCTATATTGTTCTTCAAATTCCTATGCACCACAGTGCTCATCTCATCTGTAAAATAAACTGTACAGACACACATGGAGCATTGCGTTGTCTTTACCCAGTTGTGTTTACTTTTACCAAAGCTACACCCCTTTTCACTGCAATACCATCAGAGAACACTGGAGGTGCCAAATGCACCCATTCTGTTTTGCTAAGATCAGTGTAATGCTGCTTGAATGTGCAGTCGCATCACTCAGGTGTAATCTGCTTGTTCTGATCTATTCCAGATCTCCACGTGATATTCAGATGAGTGCAGTTCTGCCAGTGTCATTTGTATTTGCAAATCAATTGAAAAAAAAAGCACAGGTATTGATATGATTTTGTCTGTTSAACAAAGTGGGTGAGCTGACCACAATCAGGTACAAAGCAGCTCTAGTGACGTGGGCATAGTTTAAATGATCTATTAGTCTCCACAGCCCATTCTTTGTTTTGAAGTTTTGAAACTTCCACGTGCTTTTTGATGCTTAAGTGAAGAGAGAACCCTGAAGACTGTTGTAAAATGTTATTGTTAATATTTTTTTTTTCTATTTTGGATATTTAAGATAATAGATGTGTCAAAATTAACCTTTCCAAAATCCTACCCCGTGTAACACCTGTCTCTAACATTGGCCAGCGTAGGATACTTCGGGAAAAAAAATAGAAAACATAATAAACATGCACTGCAGTTCTACAGAAGTCCAGTGTATTTTAAGTTCGGGGTTCTTGGAGGAAAAGGCATCATCAMTATATCTCATAACCATTAGTGAAGGTTTCTTCTAATAATCTGTCAAATATTGAACTCATAAAAACTTAATTATTACAACTGCCTGCAGAATCACACTCCGTAACTTTAGCATATGGGTATTTCTTGTTTTGTGTTTTTAAGAGCAAGGAATACATGAGTTTCTACTACAGGAAATTTCTTATGAATTGATAAGGTGTGTAACTGGAGTGTGACATTTAGCTATAAAGGAATTAGACAAAGATTAGCAACAGATTTTACACCATTCTACACAGGAGAACTTGTTCTAGAATTTTGTGACCAAAATAAGAAAAAGTCAGGTTTGATTTCCCTGTGCTGATAAGCCTTTATCTCTCACAGGTTTCTCAGAAATGAGTTTAAAGGAAATTTGGAACAAAGTCAGTGAAGAGTTTTGATTTCAGACTTCTGAGGTTTAGAAGTAGAGATGCTTTGTGCCTCAAGCTTCTTACCTAATGCTTCTAAAGTTCCCATTAAATATGAATAAATATGAATAATTCTGACAACCTAGTCTACATCTTCTGATCTTTCCCTGATCAGCAAAGTGATCCTGAAATGTTCAGGTAAATATTTTAAAGATTTCTGTATGGTGATTTAGGCAAGAGGGAGTGTCTGTCAGTTCTGCTTTATTGTATATATTAAGTGTAAGCTAAAATCACAAGGTATGTGCACACTGATATTTGCTGACCATTTTTGCTCTGGATCCTGTTCTTACATTAACCACGCTGCATTTGTGCTAAGTTGCTATTCCCTTCTAGATTGGAATAACATAGCCTCTTTGAAGGCAGAATCTGGGAGTGAGTCAGTGAGTTAAATTGWCCCAAGAACTGCTGTGAAGTGCAGGATGGACAGCATCTCAACACGTCTTCTTCCCACATTGCAAACCAATGTTGCAAGCCTTGGTCCCTCACGTATTTTCACCCTGCGGATCTTTCCTCTCTCATATATTGGCAGTTGTGGGTTTCCCTTCTCCGCCTGAAGTCTGAACAAGCCAGGAAAGCTCATAACACGAACCTTTCATGCAAGAGGCTTTTAAATTCGACAAGCATATCAAAACAGGTGAAAGATGGCAATTGCGCTTTTACTACATAGCTACATTGCAGATCTTTATGTCATGGGATGCTGAAGACGTCAGTAGCTTGCATTATTCCAAAATGGGTGAGACTGAATGAAGAAAGTAGCTGCCAAATGCTGCTGAATCTGAAGATGTTGCGTCTGGTTGCAGCTTCGTGGACACAGGCAGGTATTTGAGGGAAGACGCAACTACTCTGGTGCTGAGTCACTCACTCTTCCCTGACTGGTTATTGCTTTTCACCACTAAAGAAAAAATGCTAAGCACCAACAAAACACGGATTTCAAGGACATGCCAAGGGTCTCATGGAATCCCTACCTCAGCATGTCTCCCAAATCCTTCTGTCTCTGCTTCAAGGATGAAAACAATGAAATCTTGTTACAACTGCATGCACTGATTACGTGATCCTTGTTGATATGTTTGTGGTCCAGCCCTGGTCTCTATAGGCAAGGAACACCCTAGATGCTTGACAGAAACCTAGTTCAGAGACTCATCAAAACAGACACAAGAAATCTTGTCAATCAGGTGGCTAAATCTACTTGGAATAAATATCTGCTAAAAATATATCTGAAAATGAATCTGCAATATCTTAYGAACACAGAGGAAAACGATCCTAGTTCTTTATGTTTTAATATAGGACATGCTGTTWTGTCTGGCATAGTTATTCAATGTATAAATACATATACAATATAAATATTCATCTCTGCAACCACCTTTCTACTCTTGAGAAGCCCCAGGAATGTTTTCAAGTGTTCTTTCACTCTCCATCCCAGGTCATTGCTGCCTGTTACAGCACAGATTTTAGCATTGGGAGTGTACATGCAGTCTTGTACACCAGGTGTCAGTGTGTCTCTCTTTTTGCCTTACAGAGTTCAGGCTACATCTCTTCAGAATAAACTGCAGCTGTTTTTAGAAAATAGCAAGATGTGTTGTCAGGACGAGACAGATGTGTGCAGAGAGAGACCCAACAGCATAGAGAACAACYACCTTAGGTACAGTACTGCTGGAACAACCCACCAGCCACACTACCACTGCTCAACCCTCAATTACAATCTAGGACTAGAGACAGCAGCACCTACAGCATAGCTTAGACTAGAATGGACATCCAGGTCTAAATTTAGACAGAGCTCCTGGCACCAACTAGCAGAGGATGTGGGTGGAGGCCTCACTTGAGGCTGGTCAGGGCAATTAAGGCCTGCTAGTGTCCTCAAGGCCCTTAGAGATGATAACCTGTTTGTCTTGTTTCCATCCAACTATGTTAGTCATTGTGCAAATGCAAGAAGAGATGGTTCTGCCATGTAACAGGACAGAGAAATACACTCGGTGGCAGAAGGACAAGAAGCTSTAACTGGTTTGCACATGGAGAATTCTCACAGGACTGTTGAATGGAAGAGGTCGTTGCTGCTGGCTCAAGTCAAATGAAAAAAGTGAAAGCTGACCTTACTCTACAAGCGAAATGGCCTGAAAATGTGAAAATCTCACAGAATTATCATGAAATATGCACTACATGAGGTCTTTAAAAGAAAAGCTATGTGCAGAGTTGCTGTAGTTGCTTTGAATTGTTCTATGAATCTTTCCTGGATTGCTGCACATGGTTTCACTTTCTGCCCACATGGTTTCACTGAGCACAACGGCAATTCCTGTGTTCATCAGAACTGATGGCCAAGACTATATGCCCCAAGGAGGGCTGTTTGTATGGTGTACATTGAATCCAACCTCACAAAACAGTGACGTTTTGGCAGTAAGGAGCTTCTATCCTGAGTCAAACTACAAAAATATTGATTTCACATTTCTTAGAAATGTGAAAAATCTTGCCTGTCTAAATTACCGTCTCTGTCCTTATACAAATGAAAAAAAATTACAAACATTCACTAGTGAAGTATTTATTGTAGGGACAAACAGATCGGTCTCACCGGCTAATGGCTCTTCCTCTGTTTCCACTGTTTTTTTCATAGATCCCTTAAGGTAGATGATAAGAACTTCTAACTAWTTTTATTTCACTTCCTGTTGTATAAAGCAGAAAACCAAACACTTAAGACTCTTGCTGCTACAGCATAAATAACARTCTTTTAATTTACAAACCTAGACTTTTTGTCCATTTAACAAATGCTTTAACACTGTATGATTAAGCCTCTGGGTGCTTTGTGAGACTAGAAATGTCCTTTTATTTTAGATGCTTATATGCATTTAAGCTGACCTTGCCAATGTGGTGACATACATCATTCTCCACCTAAAAATTCAAGCTTCAGGAGCTCTTCTTACTGCCTTTTCACTTTATGGTAAACTGTTTAAAGGGGAGAAAAAAGAGACAGGGTGTGGGATGGTGGTTAAGGTTAAAATGTGGGAGCATAGTCTAGCACTGCTAGCATTTTTAACACTAATGACATTTCTCAGCAATCTTTCCTGTTGGCTTACATTGTCATGAAGATGTCTGCAGATTTTAGCAAACAAAGCATGAAATGAGTTCTAACAGAATATTTTGTACTGTAATTATCTGCTTGGCTGCTGTGGTGCATAGACATCTTGAAGGAATGTGTGCAGCCAGCACCTTTTATTGCCCCTGCTCTGTGCTTTTCCGCAGTTTCCTCTTTTGTTGAAAGAAACTCATTGGTGAGGCAAGCTCCTCCCAAGTGTATGAAGAGTAAAAATTCAGATTACATGCCAGCCCAGAAATTACCAGTTCTTTAAGAATGTGGGTGAAAAACAAGCTATGCATTGTGATACTTCATGATACTGCTGTATCTGGTAATTACTCTGGTAATCSCTGTTCAGGGACTTTCTTCCCCAGGAATGGCAGTATTGTATTTAATAGTCCTTGATAGATGGTTTTCTCCCATGAATTCCTTTCTAAGTCGTGTAAACTTGCCGTAACATTCTGTAGAAAAGAGTCACATGGTATGATGCTGAGGAACTGATGTAGTGATTTTTATCGATATATGATGTGTGTGTGCAAGGCTGAAAAAGTCTTCCTAGGAAATTACCACTGACTGAACAGCATCTAGTGTTGCTCATCCAGCAAATTCATCACTCTACCTAACCACAGGCAATCATCCCTTCACACTTTCTTTGGGACATTCAGCCTTGCTCCCCAAACTGTTCATTTTGTTTGGGTTCATCTCCTTGGAACATATAMACTCTATCTCATACCTGTCACACATACAAACTAAATAAATAAAAAATAAAATCTGTTTCACACAAGAAACTACATTCTTCTCCAAATGGAGGCCTAGAATCTCCTTCCTCCAGGTGCAAGCTCAGACGTAATGATGTTTACCATTACTAGAATCTTCTTACCTCATGTTCACATCTGGATCTCTCTCTGCTCCAGGGATTCTATCTGGACTTCATCTTTGCTCTGTCCTGGTTTGCTTTTCTAGATGAGAACTGCCGACTGCCTGCTCCTTCATCAAAACTATCTCTGGTCTTTTGAGGATTACTCTCTGATACTCACAGTCTTGCATGTGGTCTCTCATCTCATGTATTCTTATTTTCCTCTCTTAGCCTTTGTGCATTCCTCTCCACGCCATCTCTCCATCTTTGTACAATTTCTTCTGCTCAGACTGCTTCAGATCTGCTCCTTCCTTACCTTTCATTCTCTTTGTCTCTGCTGAAGAAGGCACATTTTGCTGGTAGGGCTTCACTGCTTCCAACTATGGTTTCAGGGATACTTATCTGGAAGGCTGGGAACTAGTTCATCCACATGGACCTAGAGGGGCGGCTGTGTGATCTCCTGTTCTTTAGCCTGGAGGCATAGGGAGACCACTTTGCAACCTTCCAGTTGCAATATCCTGGAGGAAAGAGAGCTAGTAATACTATCTAACTGTAGTTTTAGAATAAGCTAACATAAGTTACTTTGTTTATTTTATTAAAGTTGTATTTTCTCCCTTTTTTTTATATTAACTCATGTTTATACTGGAATAAAATAAAATATTAGTGCTGGTTTTTTTTTCCCCAGGCCTTTGATCTTAGGTTTTTCATAAGATAGAATCAGGTGGCACAAGGGAAACTTCACTTCTATTTGATTCTTCAAGAAGAAGCATCAAGCATGCTAGAATGGCCACATCTCAATTTATTCAATATTGCAAAAAGTACAAACCAGTATTATCAATTCCCAGGCACAGCTGGCAGAGGGCTCTTCTTACCGAGATAACCTAGAAGGTTCACTAACTGTGTCCTTGACACACACATATTTCTTAATACAAGAAATACATTTAAATGAAGAAGAACATTTATAATGAGTACGTAGTTGACATCTCAGAGCATTAGAGTCTTTATGTCTGGAAGATTGCCTTATGTGTAGGAAAATATAAGAATTGATAGCATTTCTCACAAAAGAATATTGAGATTAAATAAACCTTATAAATTAGACCAGGCATCACGCTGTATCTAATAGGATACGTCAGATGAATCCCTTAAGATATTTTGGTCTTGAGATTCAACTTTTCATCTTACCAGTCCTGACGGAAAACAAAATCATTCAGAAAAACCACTTTCAAATTTTGTGACTCAAGTTTTAGCATGCATTGTCTAATGCCTGGAGCATGAATATATCATTTTGCTTTCCATAGTGAACTACTTCAGCAGAGCCCAAACTGCCAGGGCCACAGGAGCCTGGCTACCGCTGCTACGAGGCAAGAAGACTTCAGATCACATCAGGCTTTCTGATAAGGTGAAAGTGGTGCAGATTTGCAACCAACTCCACTGATAAAAAATCCACAGTAACAGTATAGACGATTAATCTGTGTGCAAGTTGAAGACGTAATTTACACAAAATGGTACTCGTGAAGAAACATCACTGTAGGTCAACCTCAGTCTTCCTCCGTCTTCTTCACCACTTTGCTTCATCAGAACAAGAATAGATTTCTTGACTTCTAATTCCCAACCATCTTCTGTTTCTTTAGTCCATGACCTTGTAGTAACCCTGGAAATCATCTGCCTTCTGTCTCCTAGCCCAGGCATGTGCTGCAGCTCAGCTTATGAACTGCTCTCGCTGCAGAATGCTTCTGGCAGACCTGAGACTCCACGACGGACTGGAGGTGGATCCCAGGAAGGTATCTAACCTTCTCTTCCATTAGAGGAAAATACCTGACTCTCTTAACACATTTGAATAGTTCAATTCATTGCTGTCATCTCAACAGTTTCATATTTTATTTAGATATGAAGAGTCTGTAATACTGATGTAAAGGTGCAACCTGTGTATGGGCATCCAGATTTAACAACTTCTGTACTATAGTGATTTAGCAAATAATGTTGTATTTTGATGATGAAAATAGATGATTTATCTACTTTAAAATATGCCTTCTGAATAGATCCATGGATTGCTTTCACCAGGCCTCCTGGATCTGATTATATGAAAATACTGATTTTTATAAACTGAAATAGGTCTAAAGATTACATACATAATAGATAGGATAAACATAGGTCACCAGGAACTGCTGATCACAGAACTGAAATCTGTTTTCTTTACTGTTAGAAATATTATAACATGCAATTAAAAAGTAAACTTTTACCTAGGAAAAAAAAAAGGCAATTTTCACATTTCTAGCAATCAAATAAAATCCACTGAAAACCTTCTAAATTGGTTAACCTTCTAATTGGAAAACCTTCTAAATGATGGCATAAAATGCTARGTAAGTAAAGCTTGCATTCCCCTAAAAGATCTTTTAAAACTTCTGGTATATTTTTAAATTAATTATTCAAATTTTACTAAGTAATACTTCATTTAAATATCCATCCTGTACGGATTAAATAGATTTAATTCTTAATACTGAGAAAATCCTACAAGAAATAAAAGCCTTTTAGTCTCATATCTTTATTTGTGAAGTTGTAAAATAAATACACAACTTTATAATATGAATAGAATGGTGGACATGTGTGAATGAAGCTACTAGGACAAAAATATATGTATCTGGAGTCCTATTCATGCCCAGATTACATCCTGTGTATATCCTCATCAGTTATCTTCCAGACTGGTCAACAGGAACAATTCAGCCTAGCAAGCCTGTCTTCTCCTGGCCATCACAGGTTAGGAACATTCACTTTCTTCAAAGACCTCCTCAGTTGTCTCTCCAGTAGTGACTTCTTCACTGCTGTCTGACATGCTTGCTCGTGGACAGGATGGCAGAGCACAGCCTGGGCAGATATCTGTCCTGTTCTTCACCAACACCTGCTGAAGCTGCATATTCCAGGGCTCGATCACTTTCTGACACAAGGTGTTGCTGCCAACGTGCTGCTTCTTTGGTTTCTGCGAACACTTCCTAAGGTATTTGATGTTTTCTCCAAGAAAGCAGAGCTTACAGCCAAAGGGGTCTGCCAGCAGGAAGCGGGACCATTGCTTTTGGAGTTCTGCTTTCACCTGTGGGAATAAGGAAGTAATTGGTCCACAGCCAGCTCAGCTGACCACCCTTCACTCTGTTTATCCAAATGCTAGTTACGAAACCAGGAGGATGGTGGAGGTGCTGAGCTTCCTGACCCTCACAGTGCATGTAACAACAGCTGAGGTTGTTGCAGGACAGAAAGAGAAGGTTTGTTTGCCAAGTCAGCCCTAAGAATCTGGACCCGTGGTCCTTCCCTCTTCACTATAACTTAGCAAAGTCATTTGTAGCCCCTTTATCTCTGTAATTTTATATGCTGAGATCATAACTTGAGGTTTGGAAGAGCTCAAGTTCTTCATGAACTGCAGTGTTTATAGCCTGTTGAAGTGAGGAGGAGGAAAGCCTACAGGCTGGGGGTGCGAGGGCCACTCTGCTTTGGCTGAGTTTTGTGCTTGGATATCTGGTTTGTTTGGTTAAGGCTYTTTATTTGGCAGCCTGCCTGAAACCTGCAGCAGTGAGCAGCCTGCTACGTGCACGACCCCAGCAYGAGCGCTGCAGGCAGACAGCAGACTCCAGAGCCAGCACAGAGGAACAGGACGTGCCTCCGCTTTAAACAGGAGTAACATTCCCTTTGGCCCGAGAAATCTCTCTGCAACAAGGARCTAGAAGGCCAAAAGAGCAACTTTTAGCTGATGAGAGGTATTAGTAACTGTGTTTATAAATGTTAGAGAATTATTCCTGCACCTCAGTTGCCAGTTCTGTGTTTTATTTAAGTAGCTCAGAAATTGCCTGTCTCATTTGCGAATGCAGTGCCCATCTCATTTGTTTCCCTGGTGCCTTTAGGAAGAAGGGCTTCATGTATTTCTTCATGTATTTGTTGGTGAAGTCATATAACCATGTATTTGTCAGTGAAGTATTTCTGTACATGCATGCTGCTATCTTGTCCACTGGCTGTGCCACGATGTTGAATACTGCTGATATATGGTAAGTGTCTATTTATGGTACACATGGTAAGTGTCTGCTTATTACAAACAGTGAAGATCTCCACTGTGAATGTGCACAGACAGGGGCAAAACCTTGCTGCAGGAGCAGGGTGGCTTCAGTATGTAACAGAAGTTTTGTTTATAGGAAAGCCAATGAACATGCATTAAAGAATTCTTATTATTATGTTATTTTGACCCAAGTTCTCAGAGGAGAACTGGGAAGCTATTGGGAAAATAATTTCATAATATAACTATAGATATTTTCTATCTATCTCTCCTCTCTCTCTCTCTATCTATCTATCTATCTATCCATCTATCTATGTGGTTATCTATCTATGGGTAGTTTCTAGTTTCCAGTCAGAAGGGCAGAGCTACTATTGTAAAAAGCAAGCAAATACTGTCAGGAACTTGCACTAAAGTAATTTAAACCACAATTCTACCTAAAGAGGAGGTAGGTAGGTCTAGATTAATATAACACCCTCTGGAATTGCCCTTTTCTTACCATTAAGTAAAAGCGGAATATAGACAACAGGCTTTAACTTAGAAAGCTATTAGACACTCAATATTAAATGAGGTGAAACACACAAAATAAATGCATTTCTTCAGGTGGGTTTGTGGCAAGTCAGTGCAGTAATGCAGAGATTGCCTGCAGCTGAGACAGTGATGAAGGCTTACAGTGCAGTGGGCTGTACTAACAGAGCAGTGCCAGGAGATCAAGGGAAATGATAATTCCCCTTCACTCAACATCTGTTAGACCACATCTGAATGCTGTATCCAATTCTGGGCCCCAGCGCAAGAATTATTTTGATAAATTTGAGTAAGTTCAGTAGAGGCCAGGGCTGCAGCACATTGAGGAGATGCTGAGAGAACAAGGCTGAACAGGGCTTGTTCATTTGGGGGAAGACAGGGTTTCAGAGAAAGCCTAAAAACCAAGCTTGCTATTGAGGAGACACAAGAGACAAAGGATCATGAATTGGAATAGGGTAAGTTCCAATTGGGTATATGGAAAATGTGTTTCCTTATGAAAATGCTAAAGCACTGGAACAGGGAACCAGAGATGTGACGGAMTCTCTGTCCTTGGACTGTGTCTAAATTCAATCTTCACTCTACTTTGAACCATAGATTTCACCTCCTGAAGTCCCTTCCCTTTTGAATTATTCTTTGATTTCTTTGCTGTCATTTCCTTACACAATAGCCATGATTGATCTGCTTAAATACTGAGAAAYTGAATCTCTGATTGGCTTTGAGGCTTATCAGGAAGCAATCTCCAGCAAAGAAATCCCCTCATCAAATTTTGGGATGCCCTGAGCAATATGTGCATGAAATGATATTTTWAAATTATTGCTTTCTAAGATAATTWAGTACCCCAAATTTGGCAGCTTCTCATGGACTTCAGGGCTGAGCAGAACAAAGGTTTATCCAGGCCAGACATAAAGTCTGGGATACCATCTGATAAAAAGTGGTATTCAGGTGGCTGAGGATAAACCTATAGCGGTGTTTACACACCCCAGGATATCCAAAGCATCCACAATACCATGCAGTAATTCGTGCTTCAGTGGAAATAATTTGCATTTGAATCCAGACCTATGAGAGAGAGCTCTTTGGACAGAAGCATTTTAAAATAAGGTAGTTTAAAATAAGGTAGATTTGCTGTCAAATAACCATTGGTAGCTGGTATTTGCATCCTGTTTGGTGTTCACTAATATATTTAGCTAATCAAATGAGCCTCTTACCTCTCCATTAGCAAAACAATATAAAACTGCTACAAAAAATCCCTGTAAGAGAAAGAGAAGACATGTTAACTGGTACAGGAAATACCTATTTCTGAAGTCTTATTTTAAAGATCACGTAAATATTACAACTATAAATATAAGAAAAGCCTTGCTTCCTTAATTTTCAAAGAGGAAATTTTCTGTTTTCACTGGTTGCTGAAGTACTTGGTTTTGTATATTATTTTAGCAAACATGAGGCACATTTGCAGGTGTTTTGGTGCAGATGCTCAAGAACAGAGACTTTCCAACCCACTTGATCTTTAGTTTGCTATGACATGCCTTTCAAACAGCCTCTGTTGCACAGCAAGTGTTGCTATTTCTAGGTTTGGTAAAACATCCAAAAATGCAACCTGGGGTACGATATTAGTCATGCTTTTGTTTGAATTTGAAATTTCAGCTACCCAAAGGAATATTATTTTAGTAACTTGAAAAAAGTTGCTTTCTTTCTGTACCTCTATAAAAGATGTTCTGACTGTTCTGAAATTTCATTTCTCTTTTTAAATTGACTTAGACATGGGATCAAAAAAAAAGGGGGGGGGGAAGGAGGAGCTTGAAACCTAGAAATAAAACTTGTTTTAAGCCAAAACAAACTTTACCCTTCCCATTTTTCTCCTTTCTTTGATCTCAACCCAAAACAGCTGACAGGTGTACATCTCTAACACTCTGGCACAGATTCATGAATTTATTGCAATTGCTTCAGGAAATGCATTTCCTTCAGTATGTCTAAATACATCTAAGACAGAGAATAAATACTGTAGAATATCAGTCTCAAGGCAATGTTCATATCAAAAGGAAAAAGGTGTCACAATCAGATGAAATAATGTTGATATCATTCAACTATTTCCACACACACACTTTTGGATATTGTCCGTTCAGGTAAATGATAGGTAAATTCATGAGGATATTTATTCCATGTCATRTTTGAAACTGCTAATTTATGGTATTCAATATATATTTCTGTCACAACAGTTAGAAAAATGTCAATCAATGACAAAGAAGGAGCCTGTTCTGAAATTCAGGGAAAAACACTGAAGTTTCCAGGTGGCATTTCAAGAAGACCTTCAAGTTAACAAAGATGTAAGTATAAACTCTTAACTAAAACCAATTGCAACAGAGTAAGATGCACTATTTCTAACATTAGAAGTAAAATTAAAGAATTAAAGAAAAGAGTTCTTAGAAAGAGTTGGTTAAAAAAACCCACCACCACCAATTACAAACTAGGAGGTTTGTGGAGAGTAAATATCGAATCTTAAGTTATCAGACATTCAAGTAGCAGTCAAACACATTAATTTAGAATAATTAGTCAAAGAAGTTTAGAGTCATAACATCAAATGAGCAATGACTTGTATGTTTATGTTGGAAAAGCACTTATTAATTGAAATTCTTATTTCCACTAAGCAAACACWTATAAACACACTTGTGTTCAGTATTCACCAGATGTTGCACAACAATCATTATTGCATAGGAATGAACCATGATTCGATTAATTGCCTAGATTTTTAACACCTACTAGCACACTAATGTAACACTGTAACAGCTAAACATACTCATTTCACTTCTTGTTATCCGTTGTTAGGGAATCTTCTGACTCAGATGTGTCTAAAATGCTCACAAAGATATTTTGTGCAGCAGAAGAGTTAGATTCTCATTCCTAGATGGGGTTCCTGGGTTACTGGGCAGAAGCATCTTCACAGATTGGAGCATGGTTTGCCTAGATACTGCAGCAGGAAGGCATTCTGCCATTCTGAAGCTGATTCTCACACCTAAGAAACTAATTACTGGGAAAAGACAGTGAGACTAGAGTGTGACTACAGTGTGACAGTGACAGAGACTACTACAGTGAGACTAACAAGGTCTACCAAAATAATCAATGATCTAGAGTACATGTCCTGTTATGCGACACTGATAGAGTTGGGCATGTTTAATTTAGTGGAAAGGAAGCTAAGAGAGGGTGAAAAAATTAATAGCATCCTATAGCTATTTAAAGGTCAKCTTCAAAATGATGACACCAAATCTCTGTGGCAATGCTAAGTGACAATAGTCACAAGCTGTACCCTGGAAGGACTTACTAAATACCAGGAAAAGTCTTTTTTTTCACCTAAAGTATAGTGCAGAACTGTAACAAGTCATGCCTAGAGGCTGTGGACTCACCATTCTCAGAGATTTTCAAGACCCAAGTAGACAAAATCATGCCTGACCTGCTCTAGTGGTAGGTAAAGTCCTATCTCAGTGGGATGTTGTAGGACAGACTTCTTCCTACTCAATAATTCTATGAAACTACTGCTTTCACAGAAGAAGAAAGAAAAAACAGATTCTGAATCTCCAGGAAAAAACACTGTGAAATCACAACAAATGGCAAATTTATATAATTTTATATATGATTTATTCCTCATGTTTAATACGTTTGCAGTGTTTGTAACTTCATACTTTAAGATCTTTCTACTATGACTGTGAATTTCAAGACATACATTTTTGGGAAAGGGAAAAAGAAGAATTAGAAATCCTGAAGAAACACTCATTTCCTRCAGAAAAACATACATATTTGTTTAGGCCTTATCATTGTCCTTTAGTTCTATTGAGAATGGCATTAAGTACTCATTAAGTAACTACTTCTAATGCACGATAAATAATTTTTTTTCCTGTGGCTGTTAGTCCACATATATCAGTAAACCAAGATGATTAATTTACTCCTTTTCCTAAAGCAAATAAACATAATAGCTAAATAGGAATTGGTGTTTAGAATTTAATTCTGTGTTCCTTGAAAACATTTGAGCTAAAGCCTCCAGATGAGATCCCAGAGGTAATTGTTTTTCTTTAACAAAACAATTCAACTATTTTAAAACTACTGAGAAGATTTACAGACTAAACAAATGTAATTGGGTCCAGTTTATATGCCTTTTTACTAATCCCTTTACAAATAATACTGCAGTTAAGAAAGGGAATCTGCAATAAACATTAAGATCTCTGGGTATTCCAAGAATAAGTTTTGCTGCTGATGCTTGCTATGTAGCAGAAATCGTGCAAAGTCCTCTAAATGGAATTAAATTTGTACTTTCTACTAGGGATGAGCAACATATCTTCTGTATCAGATTTTTTTTGCACCAGCCTGTAAATAAATTTTTCACTTAAAATGACTTACTGTTGGTAAGTGTTGCTTAGAAATAATATCTAGTCACTGCAGCCTTTCCAAGTTAGGAAATGACTAACTGAGGAGCACACACTTCAGCCCCTTATCAGTAGTCCCTCTTAGAGTAACAGTGCAACGTTGGCTCTGTGCTGCCTGCCTGGGCAGGCAAACTTTTCCCCCTCATGATGTAGAGTAAATTTTTGATTACAGACTCAGCAACAATGGCAAATATCCAGCGCTGGTGCATGACACAGGTTAAACACAAAGATCTCTCTGAATTGGCCCATAATGTTTTGGTGACCTCATGTCTCACACTGTAGAAGAGGGCAGATGAACATTAAGATACTGAACTAGTAAGTGGTAAGGACTTTTGATGACCAGAGCAGGAGTTGGTGACTCATTAGGGAAGGGAAACCTCAAGATTTCTAACTTGTATCACTAAGAAGGGTGAAGCAGGAAAATCAATCTTCTTTTCAGAATTGTCATCTATTATTAGAGAACATGGGACATAATATCTCTGAAAATGTCAAATTCCCTTTTTTGGTTTTTGGTATTGTCATATTTTGAATACTTTGTTACTTTTTATTATTATTTTGTTATTGCAATAGCATATTAAAAACCATTATAGGCTGGGGTATAATATAATAATAAGAACAGTGTATATCTGTGGCATGCACACATTTTATAAAACAAATACATATGGATACTCGATCCTTAAAGAAAAACGTTCAATATGGTACTCACATGAAATGAGCTCATTGTCAGCTGAATAAAAAGCCTTATATGTCTTGGAAAACCTTCCACCTGTTCATCAGTGATGAAGGTAAATACAAATTCATGAATACCCAACAGCGGAATCAGCACAAGCGTAGATCTTGCCAATCTTAAAAATAAAACATTTGATTATTCTCTCTCTCAATATCCTTAATGCAAAATGGAAAATTTAGCCCCATGGAAATGACTGCAGAAATATTTCTTCAAAACCATCTGTGGAATGATTCAAGTTAGTATTTTGAAGACAGAATCCCAAATCTGAATTTTGGAGTACACTATCAGAAAAGAGAATCTTGGCTTTGTGTGTAGAAAAGGAAGTTATGGGTAAGAAATTCAATACAGAAGTCAATATTATCAAAATTCTGCTGCTAGGTAACAGTATAAATATTTATATAGCTAAATATGAGTGTTCTGTTACCAGGGTTCTCAAACCTTTCTATCCCTTCTGAAAACTGGAGAATATYTGTGTGGCTGTACAAAGCACTTCCATGATTCCGCTGGCAAATTTCTAACTTTTAAAAATGCAACCAGAATAATTTTAATGGAAGGGAACCTTCTTTACCAAGGAATGTATCTGCATGAATGAAAGAAAAATATCCAAAGAGCAGAAGCTCTGAGAAAGACTTGTRGCTCTAAGAATTTTAATTAGAACCTTGGAAAGTTTGGCAAATTTTAAAGCAGTATAAAATAGAATATAATGCAAAACATCAGGCGTGTTAAATAGATCTTGATGATATAGTTGAGATATTTAGAGCTTTGGATTTGGAGGAAAATGGAAATAGGTTGATTACTCATATAATGAAGTTAATATGGTCCATACCTGTATTTGTAATCATGGAAGCTCATTTGCTGGGCTTTTAGTTTGGAAATCAGCAACTTGAGTATTTTTAAGAAGATGCCAAAGTTAACCTTGAAAGAAAAAGCATATTGGTTATTTACAAGAAGTACTATAACACTATTTGTATATATTTTATAAAAGTATGAGTGATAATAATTACTTAGAAAATGGAGTCATATATTGTTAGTGGATAGTTTTTTTTAAAAATTCATTTAATTTATAAAWAATTTTATAATAATTATTATATTAATATATTAATAATTTTATAATTATAATTATTTTATAATTATTATTAAATAACTTTAAATCTACCTATATAATTCTGAAAGCTATTGGCAACAGACAATTTAATCCTTACTGTAATGGAAAACAGCATTGGTCCTCGGATGATCCACCAGATTCCCATGTGTTCATTTGTTCCCCAACACCTGAAGAATAATTTAAAGTATGGATACATTACATTCATATAAGTTATAAACCTTAAATTAAATCCATTTCAAAAACAACTCTACTTTCAAAACAACTTTCATTCTTAGCAGGAATTCAGGAGAAATACCAACTTCCTAAAATTAGGAGGAGAGTCTTGCCAATAACTGTACTTGTAGTTTCTCATAAGGTCTTTTATTATGTACTCAAAATCTTGGGAGAGGTTTTCCTAGACTGCAGACTTCAGAACCATCTAGTAAACTTAATTCTTTGGATGCGCACCATTGTATATTTGCACCCACATTTGGCCATGCAGTTCTTTAAATTATAATTGGGTACGTTGTGAATTGTGACCAGTATTCTTGACTGGTTAATAGTATTCATATATCTCCTTGAAGCTGTCGTCTTTTCTCCGAATCAAACTACATCTAATTTGTCTTATGCCCTTCTGCTTTACTAATTAGTCTGAAACCCAATGAGACTGTCGTTTGTCATTTATACTACGTGATCCTGATGTGTCACATTTAAATTTAAATCTAAATAATCTAATAATCTAAAGTCCAAAACAAGATTCAGTAGTAACCATGAATAGAAATAGAAATGAAACAAAGAAATTACATGTGATATAATTTACAACAGCATCATTAAAGACAAGCAGAATGACAAGACTGATGTTTATAGGGGTTTCACTATGAAGGTGACAGAGCCCTGGAACATGCTGCCCAGAGAAGTTGTGGAGTCTCCTTCTCTGGAGGTCTTCCAAACCCACCTGGATGCCACCCTGTGCCACATGCTCTGGGTGTCCCTGCTAGATGATCTCTGGAGGTTCCTTCCAACCTTAACCATTCTGTGATTCGRTGTGAGCCTTGTTTAMGTTACTTTTATTGGTTCATTCATTGAATAATGAATGCATTCAGTCATTGTCATTATTCTTCAAAATCCACATTTTCCAACAATTTTTGTAACCTACCCTGTATTCTCTAGTTTTGATCTGCTTAGTCCCCAAGGGCCCACAAACAAAATAGGAACAACTGAAAAGAAAAGAGGCAGTCAATTAGAGCTAARCTGGCAGAATAATTCATTCAAAATACAGATATGTAATAGCCATTTGTGGTGCAAATTCACATGTTTTTCAATTTTTTATCTAGATGCTGTACAAAAATGAACCTTCTCCTGTCATCTTTCACTTTCTGTAGCTCAAAGACAAAATGAATCCCATAGTATAGTTGCATCTCAGAAATGGAAAACTTCACTGCTGATATACAGATATACCATACACAATGCCTATCAGACTAAATCTTGTAAATTCCTGACATTGGGAATTCAAAATAATTGGTGGTAGAAGATACTGCGTTAATATAAAACAATTTACTCATTTCCAGTGTTTGCAGGTCAAACTAAACTGCAATTAAAGGATCATTTTTAGGTACATCTTTGCTGACAACAGTTGACTTCCAAACAAGCAACAACTGAAAGTGCAAAATTTTCTGCCTTCTTTATAAAGCATTTATCATTTATTTAAAAATAGTACAATATCAAGAACTTGGAAGGTATTAGGCTCTTACCCCATCCAATCACAATGTATGTCTGCAGCAGTCGCCTTTCAGAGAGTACAGCAGTTACCAGTAACGTATGGAGATAAATTCCTTCTACTAATAGCCAAAAATAATTTGCCCCAACAAAGTAATGCATGAAAAACTGGGCAGTCCTGCAAATGATTAAAATCTGTAGAAATGAGAGATCAAGAATTATTATTATATGTAAAGGCTCCAACAATGTTTTCCCTTTGTTACCTTAACCATTTTAAAATTACCACATGGTTATGAACTTGAAAAGTACTAAGTATAACCTTTGCTTTATTTGAAGCTTTAACACAGTTCTTCATTTAAAATATCACTGTATTATAATTGGAACCGTATGTAATATAATTGTAGGCATGTACAATAATAATTCTAATTGCAAATAATAATTATGGTTGCATACAGGCATTATAAGATGCGTGCAGAAAGTTTTTCTTTATTACCCTAAGCTTTATCAGCAAATTGTCATTGTTCAAAGTTCATCTAAGAGTTATTTGGAAACTTCTTGCCATACGGCAAACTTCTGTAACTTTTAACTATTATGGCTTGTAGCAGGAACAATGGGCGAAGAACTAACAAGCTACCTCGGAACTGAAGTAGGACATCCACCCAGTTTCATCATTTGGTCTTTTTGAGTAAGTGTTGTAGAATACGGTGTCTTTTATAAGAACTGCGATAGCACGCAAGATAAAAGATGCAAATAAATTCATATGGATGTAATTTCTTGTGCAGTGAAGTTTTCTACGGGAGAAAAAAATGTATTGTTTTAGAATGCATTTCATAGAAATGAAAAAAAAAAAAAAAGGTATATTCATGTTCCTGTCCTCAGTGGATTGTGTTTTGGCACTACCTTTGCAATGCATATTCCTAAAATATATGTGTTTATGTCTAAAGTTAAACAATGAAGTGAATTACATGAAAAGAAGAACATGCATATCACAATCTGTAATCTAAAAACGCATGTGAGTTTGTACTAACCTGAGTAAAAACAGTATAAAAAGAGCTAATACAAGGGAGATGAGAGAGAAATAGTATCCTATGGTGTACAGCAACTGTAGAGTGGTGAGCAATGTATGTTCTTCTTCCTAGGAAGAAAAAAAGAAAAACAATCAAGTTATTTACTTAGTGTTCATGCATGAAGGGCATGAACATTAAATCAGGAAATTTATACCCAATTTCTTCTGTGTTGCAACATAGTTATGGAAGGTTTCTGATGTCTGATCCCTGCACTTTCTCTCTTAAAATCAGTGCATTAAAGAGACACCCGGAGAATAGTCTGTTTCTTCATAAAATCTAAAGTCATTTAAGGTCTCAAGATTGCTGGCACACCAATGCAATTCTGATTCCTCATAATAGCTAATCACTGACATGATTATAAGCACWAAACTGATGGTGGTCCTTTAATAACTGCAGAGATCAATTCATTAAACCTGTACACAAACACACAATTTCTATTTGTGAAATATCTGTACAATTTTGAGATTCATCTCTCTCTCTCTCTCTAGAACCAGTGAATTGGACTGACATCTAACTCATCTACTTCTAACAATTTTAGACCTATTTTGGGTCCTATTTTAGATTTTTATGTCTACTTCCCGTGTGTTTTTCTTCTTTTACTAACTCAAGAAAAGCTTCTCTGCAGGGGAGACACAGAAATATTTGTTAGCCATATTTGGCCTGCAGAAAATTTCTTGGAACTTGTGTCTTTTCTTCCGTGATTTCACTRTTTCCATTGTTATTTATCCCACTGCTCATTGCCAGGGATTGTAGCACTTTCTCCTTGGCAATGWTCTGTCTCTAATTAGCTTTTGATATTTAGAACTATCTGGAGAGCATAGGGCTCTTGTGCTTGCTAATAAAAACTTTCTTGGAGAGGGTGAAAGTGCACAGCGAGTGCAGTTTGGATGTGGGTGATTCCCATAGTACAGCCCTTAGTCACTCAGCTTCATGAAAACAAAAAAATCAGGAATTAATCTAATAAAAGTGTGAGTTATTATCCTGTCTGTGGCATTTTAGCAACACTAAAGCAGATGAGACGAAGTTGCTGCATTTGACATGAATGGATGCCTAACATTTTGGAATTTTTGAACCAAATATAAGAAACAGGTACAAAATCACATTTAGTATGGAGAGAAATCAGGTTAAACGTTTCAGAAAAACTGTGGTCACACAAGATGAATTTATGTGGTGTTTTCCCACCCCCAAGTTTACAGTCCAGAAAAATCAATAGACCAGGAAGCCCCTCAGTACTCATGAATATTTATCATATTTGAATAAATAACTGCAATTTTGGAGGCTCATCTATTTACTGTTTAAACAGCTTAATAAGATYGAAGTAATACATGAGCTTGCCAAACTAATAGTGTTTAATAAAGTACTCAATAATTACTCAGTGAAATAGGAAACAATTATAAATAATAAACAGTATAATTAGCTCTAAGTGAGCTAGTAATAAGAGAGCTAATAATAAGCTCTAACTTAACCAAAGAACAATTTTGATATTAGCTAAACTGAATTTTGTGGCAATAGAATGCACGAGAAGCCTGAAGCCAAATAAAGTGCATGAAACCAACGAAACTGCAAACTTTCCTGTTATCTGAAACTCCGCAGTTTTAATTTAATAATTCACCTTTTTCAGTTGTACAAGCAGGCAGCAAGACTGGACTCCCTGTTCAATGCTTGAAGTCATGTCCATTACTCAAAGGGTAACTTGACTGGAGGAACTGAGCAAATGTAGGGGCAAACCTCTCATGCAGAAGATGCAGTCAAGCTTCTTGTAAATGGCATAAAAAGCTGAGCACTATCAAAATGAGTATTTTTAATCTTTTCTTTTTTAAGTACTGTAGAGCTGTTTCCTGGCATCTGGGCTGCGTATGTCAGGCAGGGAAGAAGGGTGATGTTTGCACTATGGTAGTCTTCCTATCTGCTACCCAACTAAGTTCTGAGATGAAATTCAGGACACATAGAAAATACGGGTTTGCTTCTCCCTCTCTTTTTCCATTTGAAAGAACCAGTTAATGGATCATTATATACTAGAAGCCTCAGGAAGTGAATTAAGACTTTGGCAATTTGGACTGACTACGAGATTCACTGAATTTCAGTTAACCCATAGCCAAATTGCTGTATTTTCTAATTTTATTAGGAAGAAGCCAATACATGTGAACACTGGACTCTGAAAATAATTTGTGACATCTGAAGCAGGAATCCCCATCCTTAATCTTTCCTCATCCTTGTCTTCTAAATAAAAGGACAGCTTTCCATTTGGTAATCTAAATGAAATCTGACGATCGTTCTCAGGTATTCAGTGGACATGTTTTATCAGTTACTCAAGAAGGGATTAAGAAGATTAAGTATCAAAACCATAATATAAAACATCATACTTACGTTTTGTTTGAAATGATTTTTCTCAGAACATTCTGAACTATCACGCCAAATGTCTGTGGAGTTTTCTCTCGTTTGCCAAATTCCCTGGTCCAAACAGACTCTGTATACATTTCCTGCACTGCCTGAAGTAAACAGAGATTTAGTCTGAAAGGTCAAAATAAAGATTTAATTTTTCATACACACTTTACGGATTTCTCCCTTTCTCTGCAGAAATAGAAACTACCTCCCCCGCACCCCAAAAAGGAACAAAAAAGTCTTGTCCTTGATTATTTCTTTTGCATATTTGCTTAGGAGAAAGCAGGAATTCAGTGTAGCAGAAACCAGTTCCCAGTAAGTACCTAGTATTTACAATAGCACATGTATTTTGGGGTCAAATCAGCAAGTAGTGTGAACTGATGAATCGTCCTGGACTTGCACTGTGATGCACTTATCTATATCAAGAATTTGCCTTTAATAGCAAGGGAGCGGTATGGAGATGCTGGTTGATGTTTGTTGTTCAGCAGTGCCCCCTATTTCCTTTGAGAAGGATGAGACCTCCTTTAGCTCCTTGACATCATCTTAAAGCTGTCCTCCACAGCTGGCTTCAATTGGCATTTAACCAAACTTTGAGGCTTTCAGTTCGAAAGTATTTAATTAAGAGTGGTAGCAGCAATGAGAATATCTGTTTTCACTTAGTGTTACAGGAACAGAGAACTGGCTCTGAACTGCSTACCCAACGCTCAGCACATCGGGTCCAAGAGGTAATGGGGCTGCAATATACACCCCTTCCCTAGGCAGAAGAAAAGGACGTCAGTGCTTTTACTGCGATTTTGGCACACCTCAGACAGATGGAGGGTTGTCCTTAAGGACCTATTCTGCACAAGGTATGAAAAAAAAATTGCAAAACATGAATAACCAAGGAATCCCAGTAACTCAGAGGCAATTTAGAGGTTTTGTTGGTTTCTGATCATCAAGAAACCATTCTGCTGCTTCCCCAGAGGTGCTGGGGCAAGGGTAGGGGTGCCAGACGATGAAGTAACTGAGGTTTTTTCCCATCATGATCGCAGTGAAAAGTTCCATGAATTGGTGCTATGTCTTACATCTTGTATTTGCAGAAATTCAGGTAGAAAAAGGAGGAAAAATGAGTTTTAATTACGTGGAGGGAAGGGAGATGATACTATGCTATTGTGAAGATGTGAATTTATTCCAAATGGAAGCAGATATTTGAGAGGATAGATAAAGGCAGGGCCTCTTTCTGCTTAAAAGTCCAAGAACTTCCGGAACTATTCATTCAGTTTACCAAATCAGATGTGGGTAGGCCTGGAGAAAGCTAGGCTAAGCAGCCCCCAAAAGTCTCCTGTAAGCTAAAGAGCTTAAACATACTGGTGCTTGGAGGTGATTTTAGAAACATATCTAAGAAAGCAAATTATGTGGGAAGCAGAAGCTCTACATAGTGTTGGTAGGAAAGTCCATTTTATTTTGGAGAAGGGGAAGGTTGTTTGCTCTAAGAGCGAACAACTCTTGCTCTTACTTTCTCCCTTCCTTAATACCTCCCTGCCTCTCTCTGTTCAGGAAAACATTGTCTGGAAAGCCCATTTGATCAATTCACCACTTGCTGGTGGAGCAGTTTCACCTCCTAGAGGTCCTAGCTGCTCAGACACCTTTCTTTGGCTTTGCACTTTTCAGGCTGAAAGCTTCATTTTTGGTTTCAGCGGAGACTCCAGAAGCTGAACCCTAGATGTGTTGCTGCTCATCAAGGCTGGCAGAATTTCCATATTCTTGGAAATGTTCATTTGCAGCAGATAATAATGGAGTTGTAATGAGCGCAGATGGTGAGAAAAAGCTTAACACTGATAGGAAGTCAGTGCCTAATGCCAGAAAAGCTGTGAGACAGGAAAGCCTTCAGACAGGAGGACATGGTGAAAGCAGAGACCAGCACCGCTCGGCCCTGGGCTGGATTCCCAGCAACTCCAAGAGAAGTTACCACTTTGACATTACCATTTTCCAACCATGGCAAATATGAAGGACAAGGAACAGAGACATTTCCTGGAGGTGAGTAAGGCCAGCAAACAAACTGATCAAATGTCCCATTACAATGTATTCCTGGGGAGAGAAGCAAATRCATGTTTTTTTTAAAGAAAAAAAAAAATTCAATGAATAACTGTGAAAACCACTGTGCACTGCTCCAGGTATCCTGAAATTGCATGGGTTCATTCTGTCACATGGAGAGCAATGGCAACCAATGATCCAAAGAGTATTTACAAGATATTATAGACAAACTGCATGAATTCACAGTGCAGTGTTTTACAATGCAAAAAGGGATGTTACTTCTCTTCTGTGGATGTTGCTAATTTCCTAGAGAATAATTCTATCCCAAACAGCACTATCTCCTGTTACTGTCTCACAGACCCCCCCAAAGGAGAGAGAAGGCAACTACTTAGACAGTTTTCTTTGAGTTATATAATTTGTTAATATATTACATTCTTAGAATGAAATTGAATGCCATAGTTAGAAGAGGTTTCAAAAGGATGCATAGAAAGGATGCATTGGCCTTATCTAGGCTCTTCCACTTCTCTAATTAATTATTTATTTCTTTGACCTGAGACATGACCTTGGGGAAATCCATCTGCAATGACATGATGTGAAGTAAGTGCAACAGGAGAAACCATGGAAGCCAAAGATGAAGTTTGTAGAAGCCATCATGATTTTTGAGGAGAAGGAGGAAGTGTCTTTCAATAAAATGCAGATAAAGGAAGATAGGCAGGAGGGAAACTCCTAGAGAAAAAATAAGTGGAAGTGAGGGAGAGTAGGGTTGCAAGAGAAAGACGACTGATTGTATTTCGAAAACTAAGGTGTGTAAAACGGAAGTTTCAATTCTAAGCCTTGTCCATTATCCGGCCTTTAGAAATGTAACAGGCTGAAGGTAATGAACATGAGTCAGATAAGAGTGAGATTAAGAGTTACAACAGAAGAAAAGAAACCATAAATGGTATTTGTTTGCAATAGCAATTGAAAAGAGGAAAGCAAAAGAAATCAATGCAGCTGCAAAGACAAATATGATGAGTACATGTTAAGATAGGCTCAGCTCACATACATGTTCAAATCAATTACTCATGTACTGATAGGGAGGTTGGCAACCATCCACGTTCATGCTTTTCTACCTCTTTGGAAATATAACTGAAATGCTCTTAGTCTATTGGTTCCATGTCTTAAGCAGGCATCTAGTTGAGCAGAGCTTACTATATTAAGAATGATATAATGAGTTATTATGAATTTTCATTTTGCACAGAAACAATAACTTTAGACTACTGAATCAGTCTTGGGAGATGTGCGATCAGAACCTGTTTCTGTCTCTTACCTTTCTGGAGAAGACACTAAACACTAGTTGCTGTCCACTCCAGCTTTAGAAGCTATGTGGCCTTTCATCCAAGAATCCAAAAAGTATGAGGATAGAACCATAACTAAGGTACCGAAACTCGAAGCTAATTATTACAAATGTCAGATTAATATAGGGCAACCTAGTCTCTGTCTTTATTTGCTTTTGTTTATTAGCATAACATAAAATGCATAAAGAGTCTTGTGAGAAAAGAACAGGCCCGCAGTTGCCTTGCCTAGGCAGAAATGAGACTCTACCTTGCCTAGGTATTGTGGATTCTTATCAGCAATGACTCATTTTCTAAAGGAGAAATCGAAACTGCTTTCATTCCACTGGATTGTTGTCTTAGGACTATCACACCTTCCAAAACTATGGGTTTGACTTCCTTCAGACTGAAATGGAAACTCTCTCTGGCATCCAAAAGACGTGTTCATGTCTAAAACTGGTAGTACCCCCATCTCGACAATGCTGTCAGTGCCATCCACAGTGGCAGCTCGGGACCAGCTTCTCAAGGAATCACATAGATATAGGCTTGTAACAAGGACAAAAGGTGGCCATAATTTCATGTTTCATGTTTCATATCAAGCTATAGCTGACTATGGGACATCCAGAACTTAATGACAGAGACACACTTTCACAGAGTGGGGTAAAGAATTTTAGAAAGTGGATATTTAGGAACAATAGTTTAACACTTGTCTGTATTGTGCTGTTTATTTCCTTACCAGTAACTACAGATGTTTCCTGGAGCATTTTCAAGCATTCTTTTTTGTAGTTGAGCCATCTAGAAGTGGTTTTCTCCAACAGAGATCCTTTGGCCTGTGAGTGAAAATATTCTATGTAAGGAGATTTTACCATTGCAGATATTTTCAAGACTGATTTTACCTGCAACTTCTTAAAGTGGTCTCTGTGGAGAAGATCAAGAATGTGTTTAAATAAAATTAAAAGAAAAAAAAAGAAAATAGATTTCAGGAGAATAAGAACTGGAACAAATAGTTTGAAGTAATATGGATATAGAAGAACTAGAAAGCAAAAATTACAAGAACAGTTTCTAACGTTAAAAAAAGAGAAAAAAAAAAAAAATCATTCCCAGCCATAGAGGGAGAAGATTTTTTTTGTACTGGCAGAAGAGATTGTGCTGCTCAGAAAAGTATGGCTCTTACTGCTTTGTAAGAGCAAAGCAGCGGAGAAAAGTTTGTGTTAGATATTGCCTACAGATCAGTATCAGTATAATGAATTGAGCACTATTTTTTCAGGGAAAAAACTCATCAGCCAAAGCAGTCTCTGTGAAATGTCATAGCTGGTCTTCTGAACTGAGCTGGTTTTGAGAGGCCAGAGGCAGGCAGATATTCCAAGAACACTGTTACTATAAGATACRAAAAATAAATAATTCGATGCTGCTTGAAAACACTGCAGATTGTCATGCCATTTTGGAGGCTATAGGTTTTCAGAATACAACAGCTCTCATGCAAAAGGATGCTTTTAAGTCAACCAAAGAAGACACCTTTGTCTGGATTAGAACCTTTCTGGCTGCTGCTTTTCACACATGTGCAATGTACTGAATTTCTGCAACCTTGGTGAGGTGCAAGGGGCTAAAAGTCATCACCGAACACGTCCATTTGTTGGACCAACAGCATTACTCTGAGATTGGGAACAATATTCCTCCTTGGATACGGAAGATTTAGTAAGTTCAATTCCTTTTTCTCTTTTCCATCAATTATATGGGATAGCTCATTCATACACGCTCTTGCGGTATAAAATCCTGCCTCTCCAAAGTTCTGCTTTGAGAGTCCTAGCTAATTTGCAGACACCCTACTTGAAATTCCAGGGAGTAGAAACTCTAAAATTATTCTTCATTTGATGGACTTGCAAGATAAGGAGAGAATATTTACAACAGGCATGAGAAAGGAATGTGTGTTTCCAAAATAAAAAGCATCCTGACATTTCCCTGATGTGGGCTCCAAAACACTGAGAGCCAGGGTAGATCGTTGAGAAACTCCCAGGTCAGTGAACTTCATTTGAGGAGGCGAAGAGATGGAGATGACGCACTTGTAGAAAAGATTACTTGATTTGAAGGATAGCACTTCAGTTTCTAAAAAACGAAAACATTAAACAGCAAAGGAAATATAAGGAAAACCTCGTAACTGCTACCTGGCCTGCTTGTTTGGTTCCACTTCTGGAGATAGAGTTGAGGAAAAATTAATGAAAGACACTTGCTTGACAAGAGGGAGGAGCCATTTAGGCATAAAGGACAATATCACTTCATTCCATTATGTTCTGCAAAGCCAGGAACAGAGTTAGAAATCTAATTCCTGGTCACTGAGTCACCCGGTCACCTGAGATGCTTTGTTTTCCACCAGAAGTCATACAGATTGGGGAAGAAAAAAAAAAAAAAAAAAACCCTTTATATAAAGTGAAGTCAGCTTTTTATAAATTGAGGTAAAAAGACAGGCACAATTAGCACTGACTCATCTGACCTCAAATGTTAGCATGAAATGCAGCATTAAAAGAACATCAAAATAATGTAGAGAAAATGAAATGATTGTAAATTACCAGAGGAACAGACAATGACAGCACAGGTCAATTAATAAAGCTCATTTGAATATGACAGAAGCATTAGCTCATCTGCAGAACACACATAGTACTAGATCTAATGCAAAATTTGACTCCTAGAAGCCACAGCTGCAAGATATATTTGAGGACTGTAATGATTTTGAGAAGGATTTAGATTTAGTTGTAGAAATTAAGTGTCAGGAATCCTCTTTATGCAATGCTGGAGTAAAAGAGACTGTTGAAAGCCATGCATTTGTGCATACAAGTGAAGATGCTGAAAAACTATGAGAAAATGCAGTATTTTTTCTTGGCTTGACTCTGACTGGATACTATGATTAACTGTGATGGTCGTGCTTTAGAAGAGGTGGTGATAAATAGAGCAGTCTCAAATACTAGAAAAAAAAACTTCAGAAATCCCCATAGCTTTATCTTATCAAATAAATGACTACACAGAGATTCACTAGCAACTTAAATGGCAGCATGTTGGGAATTGCTCATGGGCTACCTACAAGGCCTACCAAAAAAAAACCCAATTATAAAAAGCAAGCATGCATCTCATAAATTACCATTTGGTCCGCAGTGGTCTCCACTCCTACTGTGGCAATTCCTTAATGACCTGTGTAGTGAGAATCACTAGAGAATGCCGGCAGTGCCGTGGGATGAGGAAGGAAGCTTGCTTYCCTTCCTAGCTTGACAGAAATGCTGCCGGTGCCATAGGTAGACCCGAATGTGTTCCGRATTGCGGCATTCTCTGTCCTTCCTGATGAGCTTTTCAGTATTAAGTAGACTACGGAGATATTCACTGGTCAGTGAGAAGACAAACTGCATGGATGGGAATAAAACCCTAACCATAAAYGGGAAAGAGGATTCAAGGAGGTGGGACACGTTGATGGCTGATAGCTGTCTTCACYAGGTAAAAAGGATGCAAAGAGAAGTCAGGGAGAAAGTCTTGGGTCTGCATCGTGTCTCTGTGGGATTAATGTTCTCCAGAGAGCAGTCCGGGTTCTTTCAGGAGGTGAAGAATTGTCGTTTACCTGATGAATATAGCAGTCACTATTGAGAACCTGGGAGCTCTTTGGCCATGTTTGGGAGAAACTCCAGTTGTGTAGGTATATTCTGAAAACTGTTGCCAAATGACTCCTGCATTTGAAATAGCTCTGTGGGTTTTTTTTTCAATCCAGTGAGATTTTTTTCTAACATAAGGCTGAGCCACTCTGTGCTCTSCTGACCAAGATGCTGTGCATGCTCAGTAGAAGAAATGCAGCTTTCAGGAAATTTTAAGAGTAATTTTAGGCATGTCAATATGCAGCTGAGGAGGAGTTTTGATCTCAATTTTAGCTTTCAGTTGAAATATACCTACTCTAGCATTTATACAGAAATTTTGTAGAATTTAGGGTCCAAAACCCAAGACACATTCAGAAAGCCTGAAACATTGAAGAAACTGAAAGTTTCTTCGGAGTGTTTGAAGTTTCATCGGTGACAGGTGAATGAACTCACCTCCTGATTCTGTGCACCCAATTCACAACAAAGATCAGTGTCAGTACTAAGTTTAATCAAAGGTATCTGGAAAGGTCTTTCAATTAATTCTGGTTACTCGGAGCACTCAAACTGCACCAGGGTGACAACATCAGTCACTATAATTTAAAAGTATTCTGCATGCAGTAGATAGCAGTGCTTGAAGCTCTCATCTGAGAACTGAATTCTAAAAATTAATCTCAAAGGAGCAAACAGACTAATTAAATTTTTTTATCATCGGCTATAGCATATTCAGTATTTCACCTTTTAATTTCTCAGTTATTTTAAGCTAATGGTTAAAGGAAGTGGTGACCGTTTATTTGGAATATGGGAAAAAAATATTTTCTATATAAAGTGGAAATGACATAAGAGCTTAAGTATTTACTGATTCTTTCAGCCTTGATCCTAGTGTACCCTGACTGCTGATCTTTATAGCTATGTTGGTGTTCGTCTAGGAAATGTAGATAAAGAAGCTTATGATTGTTATTTCTTTGTTATGGGTCTTTACTACGGTTTAAACTACCTGATGTAAACAAGTTCCAGGAATCACTGTAGCAAAGTAATTCACTGTGAATGAATTTATATTCTCTCAGAATCTCGACTCCGCTGAGGTTATTTAATTTTTCTTTTACGTGATATGTGATATATTGAAAGTGGTTTTAAAAATTGAGAGTCTTTTGAGAGAACCTTTTTTTTTTTATGTGAGAAAACCTTTTACACAAGCAATAGGATTTTTTTCTACCAAAACATTCAGAATATATCTCCCGATAACTTGTTATTCATAAAAATGCCAAACCCTGTAATGTGCAGATATAAGCATGCTTCCTTGGCTAAATGGAGGACAAGTGGATAGAAATACAATATTAGTGGATATAAATATATATATATATTTATAAATATTAGATATTATTGCTTTCAGGTTAAGGTAAACCTGTCAGTTACATTAACTCCCATTTCCACTTATTTCATAGAAATTTATCCTAAATTTACTTACAAGTTTTCTTCAGATGCTTTAAAATTTATTAGAATGCCTAAGCAAGCTRTAATTTAAAATTTATTGAGCTAAAGATAAATATGGTGATTAAAAACATATATGAAAATTTCCCAGATAGTAATTTCACTGATATTTTGTCCTTACATACATAAAACTGTCCCAAGTTTTAAGAYAATATAGATGAAGAAGAAAGTTTATTAAAACTTTGTTATAGATGTAGTAAGTATATAAGTTGTTTACTAGAGCTCCATAAATKGTACATGGTTATGCTAGGCTTTGGTAAAAAGCTGAGATGCAGAATCATACCGGTATTATCAGCTTGCACAAAATATCACACAATGTCTAAGACTTGCCGCCATCTAGAAGAATATTCGATATTGTCTTAAATTAAACAAAGTTGTTTTTACAAGGAAAGAAAGTGGGAAAAACAGTAAAAATAAGTATGATTCACAATTGCATTGATATTTGATAGGCAAATTGAAAAACAATTTATTATTAATCAATATGAATATATCATATTAAAAGAGATTGTAGAAAACAGTACTATTTATTTTACGAATTAGTATTAATAGAATTAATAGAAGTTAATGATCTAGTCAGAGTGAGTTGTAGTAAAAAGTCTACAGCTTCTCAGTCACCATTTCTCTAATTTTCGACAAACATCAATTCTTACATTAGATTATTTACAAAATCTACTGTTTGTGAAGGTTAAAATGCTAGGTAAGAGGAATCTCTTGTATTGTCAATAGTTAACTACTGAATTAACTTACCTGTTTCACTAGAAACAACATCATGACACAGCTGGCAGGTCCAGGTGGTATTTTGGACCAAAACCACATACTGGAGCAGAGACTGAAAAGTGTGGCCATTCCCATTCTGATAAATTGGCTCTTGATCTGCTACTATCTCACTCTAGCACAAACTCACAGTCCTTTGGAAAAAAAAATCCCTCTTCTTTTAYGGATGCAACTCTTTCAGAACCTTCTTAAAAATAAACCAGGAAATCTGTTAAAATGTCTAGGCTTGCTGGACTCCAACTCCGTTTTATTTTTCTGATAAAAGGCAGAGAGAATGTCGTCTAAACTTCACAGAAAGGCTGCTTTCTGTAGCTTGTCCTGTAGCCAATAAGAAGTCACAAAACTATTAAAACACTAACAAGCTAATTCTGCTCCCTGGAACTCAGTGGGAATTTTGCCAGTGGTTTTCTGAGAGTGGAATCCAGCTCCATAAATACATATATTTATACACATCTCATGAAACTATTAAAACATWTGCTTAGAATAGAAAAAATCTTTGTGTAAGGACCTTGCTAGATAATAATTTGTTTTATCCTTTTGAACCACACTTTGTCAAATATGTASAGTGAGTGAAGGACTGGAGAATATAGCGTTATCAGAGATTAAAGTTTTATTACAATTCTTATAAATTTCCACGTTCTCACACTTTCAACTGCAATGCAAGGCTTGAGAAATTTCTCAAGAATTTAATCTTCGATTTTCCAACATTTGCTTGCAACMTTTTTGATTAATAAGAAATGTCTGAAATGCTAATAACCCTATGTGATATACAGGAAATTAAAACCATTTATAATGTAATTTTATARGCAGCCTTATACTTTTCAAGCTCAAATTGGCAGCCTGGAAGCCTCTGACTGACAATTAGGAAGATGTTGCTCCTGAGTTTCTGATAGAAATGAAGTTCAGAGCTGTTTACACAGAAGAAGGCCTTGTGTCGTCCTCAGAACTCTCAGGTGGGTCAGTTTAGCTGAACGGAGGCCACACCGTTAGGTCTTAAAGGCCAATAACAGCCTTGTTTTCCATGCTAGATACAAGCTCAATCCAGAATGTGGAGCAGATATGTTCTGCAGCACACCTGGTTGAGTTGACCAGCAGAAAGTAGACATGGCATGTAGCTACTGCCACTCTTCTCTCTGCCTTTTTTTATTCTACAATAATAAGCCTCATGAAGAAGACAGGATCAGAAAATTACCCTTTATTTTAAGAGGTCAGTACATGATGGATTTTTGAAGGGGCATCTTAACATTTTCTGTTGTGTTCTCCAGCTATCTACAGTAACGGGTAACATTTCACTTGCTGCTTTGATCATGTCTCAGAAAAAAAAAAGGTGCTGTTTTCATAGGAACTTGTGACTGCTGAATTTTATCACATTTTATCATATGTGAYGCAAGCTTTCAAGCTTCTTGTGCAGCTCTTTAGGGTTGAACTTTCATTATCTTTAATACCTTGGGGTCATTAACAGACCTTGTAGCTCTATTGTTTTCCAATTACTTATGAATATCTAATAACAGATATTAGAGGAAGACTTCCTCGTGATTTGCTCATGTAATTCCTTTCTCTTATTTCCTGTTCTTTAATCATTTTAGTAAAGAACCTGATTGAAAAAGCCGTGAAATCCAAAAGGATGARGAAATTATCTGTTTCTTTCTAGATTTCTTTAAAGAACTTTAATAGAGATGTGAGGCATTTTAAGTTTGGTGTGAGCTTTTTGCTAAATATAATAGGAAAACAAGTTCTACAATCTGTTATTTTTTCTACTCACTTTTAAAAAGTACTTTGAAACTTTTCCCCTACATTGTAATTATACTAATGAATTATAACATTAGCTAGTAAAGACAGAACAGAGAATAAAGTTCAAGTTTCTGAGTTACAGTTCAGAGTTTTTACTAGAACAAGATACCATAAATCAACTACATGCCCTCATTCGCTGTTATCGTTACTCCTGGAAAGAATAACTTTGCTTGAAGGAGTAAAAAGTTAGTTAGTAGTAAAGTTAGTTAAACTAACTGTTTCTCTTTTATTTTCTTTCTACACACTAGGACTGATACAGCTCATAAGTGCTCATGCAATACATTACTCTCATTATCCAAAGGATTCTTAAATGGCAAATGTATTAAAAGTCTTACAAAGAAATCTGTCTCAGTGAAAAACACCAGACTGCAGTTGTTAGCCAGAGATATCATTCAGCATCTCGTTCTCTGAAGTCTCGAGAGACTGATCCATAGACTAACATTGCACAAGATCCTTTCAACAGAGGAAGTCAACTATTCCATGACATTTATGCTGGCAACATTTTATAATGAGCATAAAGTTATAAAGTTAATATATACTGAAGTGCCAGTGCTATTCTCAAGCAATCTAAACTGACTTGAGGCAGTGGTTTCAAAGGCCATAAAAAAAACACTTGAATACAGCCATGGGCAGATTACTTGCAAGAAGAGGGAACACAAGCCAGACTTAAATCTCAAGTAAGTGTTTAATCCTTCTAAGACCCTCCCTCCCACCCATCCTGTTTGAAGATATGCCATATGGTTTCGTAATGCTGTCCTGAATCAGTGTCACGGAACACAGTCTTAATGTGGAAATTCATGAGTGCTACATCCTTGTAAAAAAAAAAAAAAAAAAATGCAGCAGAGCAAAGATGTAGGAAGAAAAAGCCACTGGTTCAGTCAGGTTCTGCTGTCTCAGCTACCTGAGCTGTGCGATTTGCTCTGCCTTATTAGTCCATATACCTGCTCAGTCTGTCATTCTGTTGCTGGCCAGCTCTTCAAGCTGAGATCTTAATCATTTAAAATACGTATTTATTGCCTGTTTATTTTTGAGTTTCTTTTGCTATTTGCCTTATCTCTTGCTTCTCCTAAACTGACAACTTTGTGGTTGAACATACTTCAAAGTCATAGGCCTTTGAACAGCTATAGAAAATATCCTTACTCTGTCTACTAAGGAAACGCTCAAGACTTCATTGTATTCTGCAGTGGGAAATTTACCATTTGTGCCTAACACCGTTTGGTCCATGGTGACATTCATATTCTTCACACCACTGATTGTGTACCACATTGCAGCGTCTACTTTGTAGAATTTCTGACCCAGAGCAGACTGGCCACAGTTCTTTCTTAGTACAGGAGTCTTTGTTTCATTTAGTCATACTTCAAAGAATCATAGGACACTAGGATAGTTCAGGTGGGAAGGGAATTAAGAAGTCTCTAGTACAATCTCCTCAAAGCAAGAGCTATTGGGAGGCTGATGTTAGGTCTGCCTGAAGCTTCTTGCCTGACTTTTGAAGAATGTGTTGAATGTGCTTGTCACCTCCTTTAGGTCATTCGTAAAGATGTTAAACAACACCGGTCCCAGAATGGTCATGCTAGCTTAGCCATTGTATCTGAACTGATTTAGCATAATAATAAAATGCTTTTTCACAGAGGAGACAGGAGGACAGGCAGAAAGAGGGGGAAAAAAGAGACTTCTCTCTATTCTTTCCACTTTATTCTTTCATTCTTTAGTCTTTCATCGTTATTTAAATCCTATTACACCTCAATGGAGGCAGACAGGAGAGTTCCAAGAGTCCCATAAAAAATGAGGACAGGAAACATAAGACTTTCATTTGTAGCTGCTGGAACTTGAAGCGAGTACAGGCAGTTTACCAGTGCTCTTGGGAAATGCTCTAACATTGTGAAAGGCTCTAATTTAGGACCTGCTCTCATCTTCTTAAGCATTTCTTTAAAGTTAGATTCACCACTATATTCAATTTTAATTACTGTTCAATGTAACAGCGCACTCGAAACTGTGAGATGCAGCCCTATTGCAGTGCTTTCTGTATTACAAACCATTATTCCTGTGATTCACTGGCAAAAGTATAATTTATTGTCCCTCCTCCTTGTGTTCCTTTCACAAGATTTACTGCCAAATACTGTCTTACAGCCTTAATCTCTTCTGCCACATCATTTCTGCTCGGGTCCGTATCTCTGCCTTCTGTCTTAACTGCAAAGCTGGTACAATTTGTTGAGAGGAAGGTAGAACGGGATGGTAAATATAGGCAAGTGCTTCAGCATCCAGATGTAGCACAGCTTTATAAAGTATTATTTCTTGTACGTTTGATCCTGTGGTTCTGGAGGATGCCTCTTTTATTTTCAGCGACGGGCAGACGACAGAGAGCCTCAGCGACGTTTTCCCTCAGTCTCCTCTCTTTAGTCTTCTCTATTACAGCTTTCAGTAGCAGCTATTGGTGCGAAGGGGTGAGAAAAGTTGCCAAACCTTTCTGTGCAGGACAAAGCAAAGAGAAACACTGCATCCGCTTTAATAGCCCTGATGCCAACAACAGCAACGCTGTGCAGTACATCTGGGAGACGGGCGACGACAAGTTCATCGACCGCAAGTTTCACGCTGGGATCTGGTATTCCTGCGAGGAAAATATAAATGGGAAAGGTGAGTGAGAAAACATACATTTGTTTTAGAAAAGATTCTTTTTTAAAATGATTTTTCCTTCTTCTGTTGGTTAGTGTTATTTTGTTGTTCGTTGCAATACTGTGTAATGGAAAGGAGGAATTTGGAGCGTACTTTTCAATGCTTAAAAATTTCCTAATAAATTCTGTTAAGAATTTTAGAGTGACGTGTTGTAATACAGATAATTCTGTATAATTCTGTTCTTCTAGTCATTGCAGCAAATTAAATTTAACAGGAAAGCATTTTATATTTCTGCTGTTCCTCATGCATAAACCAAAAATGAGCACATTTGTATTGAATTATTGCTTATGATGCCCTAGGCACCATAGGAGGCACAGTGGGGTATTTTATTTAAAAAAATCATTGGGATTTTCTTTCAGCAATTAAATATGTGAGACTTACATTATTTCATGGATTTCCAGATATTTTTACCTTCTTTCTGTGATCGTTCCTTTCATAAACTATAGAACAACGTTATTTTCACTCTTTCACTTGTCTTCGCAAGATGTGAACTTGGACACTTACTAATCATGAGTTGTGGCTTTTAATTGAGTTTCTGTCTGAATATGTAAATGTCAGGAGAATTGCCATTAAAGAAAGCATTTGGGTAATTTTAAATCTTTGTACAATGAGGTTGCTGAGCTAGTACGACAAATAGAGTGTATGCTGTAAATTCAGGTCTCCAAGGTTTTGTTCCACTTATTGTTCTTATCAGTTTAGGGATCACAAGAAACAGGAAAAAATACCATAGAGAAAATAAGCTATTCTTTAGCCTTTCAAATGCAAATATTCTAAATATTAAATTTTTAAAATATTTCAAAACAACAGTTTTGAAAGGCTGCCTCTCATCAGAATGTCTTCTACGTTAAGTAAGACATTTAAGGGAGGAATGTCAAAGATCACGGGAAAATACACTTCCTACTCAAGGGAAATCAAAAAGTAAGATATTTTTCACATGATGACTACCACAGGTTAGAGAATCTGTGCTTCCCCTATGCTAGTTCTTATTTTCTTGTGTGGTTTAGTTAGCAGCAGAAAATAAACAAAGCCCTGCATTTTAAAAGCAGAGCAGAATTAATTCTAAGAGCTTTATTCAGAGAATTTGCATTGGGGTCAAGAGGCCAAATAGGCTTGAAAAATAGAGTTTGCCTCAAAAAAAAAAAAAAAAAACCCACAGATCAGACTTAGAAGAAATCTGTGCGAGCGGCACCCTTGTTGCTGCAGAGAGAGCAGGCCATCTAGCAGGGTGGTGTACCCTCACTTTTTCAAAGGAATTGCTCTTTTGCCTATTCTGATTTTTACAGACACAGTGTATTTTTGAAAAACAATTCATAATCTTTCCTTACATCTCCCAAACACAAAGTCAAATATTTCTGTTTGTTCGCTGTTATAAAATCAAGTTCGTGCTCTATACCATATTTTGCTTTTTTTTTTTCATTCTATTAACCTATTCCTGTTGGTAATGCAGAATACTGTGTTACACAATAAAAAATATTTGAGAAGTCTATTTTTTAATTAATTATATGTCTTTCTTAGGAGAGAAATGTAGAAGTTTCATCAGCTTGACTCCACCTACTGATCGAGGTAAATATTCATCTTTCTTTACCAAGGCAAAGGTTTGATGAAGAAATAGACCTTGCATGTGTCCAGGCATGTCTTAACCCAAGAATTTGATGTCTTTTGAAAAAAAATGCCTTTTGAACATGAGTTGTCACACAGCCACCAGCATGCAGTAGGGTTGCTTAACCTCCCAAACATTTGGTTTACTCCCATGTGTACTGTTTAGCAATCAACCACATACATTATTATTGTTGTTATATTTAAGCTATGATTGTTAGTATGTACCTTGCTATGAAATCAATACTTGAATATGTAAGGAAGTATTTTGTCTCAGGACAAATTTGTAAAAACAAAACAAAAAAAGACTTGGGAAGGTTATGGGCAGGTCTTAGCACTTGGAGAGAAGACTCCTACTGATAGGACATTAGTATGACAATAATAATAAAGAGGAGTCATAAAATCTATCAAAAATGGATAAATGTTTTTTTATTATTATTTTTCTTATGTGATTTAGTGTAGTTACTAAGTATGACAAAGGTACTGCTCTATCTTGCACTGAATGAGTCCTTATCAGTAGCGGAGATAATAATTTATGATTTACATGAATCCTGAGATCTTAAAAAAAAAAAAAAAAAAAAAAAAAGGTTATAACAATGTCCCCACAATTTTGGAGCTTTCGTTCAAGGATGTAAACAATAAAAATGAAGGATGGAGAAATGGGGAAAATAATAAATATTGGTGTTATTAATTTGGTCTTCCAGGAGTTCTATGGCTGTCTATTGTAGCAGAGATACTGTACATTATTTTGCTTCTGGCTGGAGCCATTCTTATGTCAACAGAAGTGTGCTACTACACCACTGGCATTGATGGGCTAAAGATCAACGCCTTTTCTGCTATAATCACTGTACTAGCAGGTATTGTTTCAGATTGCAATTTATATACCTCCAGAAAATACAACATTGATAGACTCTCAAATRAAGATTAATAGCAGGCTTAAGAACTGTTATAGTCCTACTGAGACATAGGCAATAGAACAAGATGCAGCAAAATTTTATGGAATATATTTAAGTTGAATAATTATTTTCTTAATATGAYTTTTATAGATTATATTTACCTTACTATTCTAATTTTATTATATTTAATTTGATTGTCAAGTTGATTGTCAAAGATGAAGTGATATATTCTTCCTATAGCTTTGTATGCTTTTTTGTTTGTTTGTGTTTTTTTTCACATGGTGAGTATAAAATTAGCAGTAGGTAGAAATAAAATGGTATTTATAAAACAGTAYAAAATCTGCTTAAATAATTGTTAGTGGAGGATCATCCTAAACAATGTGTTTCATTTTCTGCATACTTAATCTAACACTGTACAATATAGAAGCCTAGGAAATTCAGTTGGAAGGGACTTYAGGAGGTCTCTGGTCCGGCTTCCTGCTCAAAACASAGTCACGTATGAAAACACAACAGATTGCTCAAGGGTTTCCACATTTGGGCCTTGAAAGGCTGCAAGAATGTGACCAACACAACCTCTGTAGGCAACCTGTTCTACAGGCTGCTTGCCCTCGTGGTGAGCAACTTGGTCTGATGACTTGGTCAATGGTGATCCTGCTGTTTTCAGTGCTGACAGAGACCTCCTGAGATACTTTCYAGTGTGAACTATTCTATCATTCTATATATAGCAGAGAACTGCTCCTGAGGAAAGCTTCAATAAAAACAATAACTAGTTGCTAGTATTAATTTTAAAGTAAGAAGCAATCATAATGAGTATTTAGTATGACTTCCTGTAACACATTGCTGCCACGCCTGCACAATATGCAAAGTAATTTATATTTGGTAAAAGTATATGTTTTAGAAAGTCATCTAATTGGGAGTGAAACACACAGGCAGCTGTGAAAAATTCTTGATCCCTGGTCAAAGATAAATTACTGAGAAGTAGGTTTTCAGAGCGATGGAGTCAACCAGCTAGTTGTCTTTTACAGTATATGGACCATGGTTCCTTTGGGTTATTCTACTAGGTCCCATTTATAGTAAGCGTCTTAAGTCGTGATTGTATTGGCAAAATCCATGATATATAAATGAACATAAATTATAATATTCAGTATTTTGGGGGGAATTCAAGGGAGAATTGCAATAAGTTCAAAAATAAGAATGTTCTCAATTCATATTTTCTAATATCCTTATGATTTTATACTTTTTAGGTCTTCTGGGCATGGTTGCTCACATGATGTACACCACTGTATTTCAAATGACTGTCAACCTTGGTCCTGAAGACTGGAGACCTCACACATGGGATTACGGCTGGTCCTACTGGTACCTATTGATTTATTTTTGGTTCTTCCATTGTAGTTCAGTCGCTTCCCCCACTAATCAAGGAATATATGCCTAATTGGTAAGGAATGGATCTATCTTGTTTCACTCCTGGGGATGCAATTCAGTTTTCTAGCTGTTTCCAGAATGATTCTGTCCCATCCRTTGGTTCTGTTGTCATGACAAGGTAAACGCACCTGCTTTTGATGCTTTGGCRTCATCTCTTTGCTGTAAGAATGCTTCCACTGACACCCACCTGTGGGACACGTGTCGTCTGACTGACTAATGTAACAAGGACAGCTTATGCTGCACCTTTTTGCTCCTGTTTCTAGCAGCCTGTGTATTTACATGCTATATTTGACTGCCCAAATTTCTGGCAATACATCCAGTGATAGGATTACCCTGAAAACCAGTTCTGGCCAAAGAACCCTCCTTAACCCCCCAAAACAGAAAGTGTTATTTTATGCCTCAATCAGTTCATTGGACTGCTGGGAGCATGTGGCAATGAACAGCTGTGAGTGAGAGGAGAGTTGAGCAGAAGTTTAGCAACAAAAGCATGTTTCTTTGTATTATCCTGACCTTGATATGGTAAAAAAGGTTCTGATGAGTGATTTCCTTCACTGCGAACTCCAATTCACTTCAATGTGGCTTTATTTTCACATGTTACTTTTATACCTTGATCATGCACTGGCCAGTTAGTAGTCTAGTGATGTCCTGCTCGTTTTGCAAATTATCTCTCAACATCATTTTTGGTTTCTATCTTCTTGTGGTTTTATATTAACATTTGGAGTTTATATCCTTTCTTCAGTTTGGTCATTGCCAGTGTTTGCTGCATTACCTGCATTTCAGTGCTGTGAGCCTGTTTTAAGCACTATTTAATTGTGTCTTTTCTTTTTAATCCTTTTGAATAATGAGTATGTCTTTTTTCCTCAATGGCTCTTGAAATTTTTAAATCTCTTTAACAGCATCGTTTAATTTTTAAGCATCCCTATGTTTATATAAGTCCTTATTCTGAAATTAGGCTTTAGGCAGAAGAATTGTGAGTATGGAGAGTGTTTCACTCAAAGATGTTAAATATGGTAGATGTCAGTTATATAGCTCAGCTACTTGGGTGATCATTAACCAGAAATATTTTCCCTTCCTCAACCCTTTGCCCTATCCATCGTATACACTGATATAACCACTAGTGTGTAATACTTTCAAAAATAAAACTGAATTATGGTGGATATGAATCTATTCTGCTAAACTCTAATCAATCTTTTTCTTTATAGCCTTGCATGGGGTTCCTTTGCTTGCTGTATGGCTGCAGCTGTCACCACTATTAACAAATACACAAAAACTATCTTGGAGTTCAAGCACAAAAGAAAAAAGCTGGAAAGGACTTTAAAGATTAAATACAAGTTTCCTGATCCTGCAGCTCCAGAGAAAGCTTGCAATGTGTATGTGAACTCTTTTCACAAAACTCCAGAGGACCCTGCACATCGAATAAAAGGCTTTCATCACCTGGCTAATATTTCAATTCTGTAAATTTGAACCGCACCTCAAGGCATCCTGTGAATTCTAAGGTAGATGACAGTGCAGTAGTATTGATTTTAAAAATTCATCTTTGTGTAGCATTAGTTATTTTTCTTAAAAAAGGAATGACATTTTCATAGATGTTTCAGGGAAGTTTTAGTATTGAAGAAGCTGATACAGTTACCTCAGTTCAGCAAAAGACGGTGACACAGATTCTGCACTCCTCGGATTTTTACCTATTCTCTAATGTTACTGTAGATAATGCGAGTTTGTTAGGTTTTCAGAGCATGATGGATTTTCACCCTTAATTCCCTACTGAAAAGTCTTCAAAGGTGAAAGGCAGAAGGTGAAAATAGAAAAGCATAATTCCTCATATTTTTTTTTTCCATTCTCTTACACTGCAAATACCAGGTAAATCATAGACTACAGGCACCTATTTGCACTCATTGCTTAAGAAGGGGATATAAAAAGTTAGCTATTTGCATGGCAGATATCTAAAATGAGGTAAAATGGGTCTTCTAAGGCTATATTTATGTAGATTAAACTATGACTGAATGAGGCTCACAGAAAATATATTTTGATGAACCAATTTCTTCATATTTCTTTTTATCATTCTATTTTTATATGCAACATGTATATAGTTGCATATCCTGACCTTCCCTTTCCCCACCTCATCCCCTGCCTCAGTGGGGCAGGGATAGAGAAATAGGGAGAAGAAAAAAAAAAAAAAAAAAAAAGGATTAAATAATGTTCCCTGGAGGGAAAAAATAATCATTTCAAAAAATACAGATGGAGAAATCTTGTTCTCAAAATCAGGAAAAAAAAAAAAACCCAAACATGAGATTATAGAAAGTGTGACCCCTTTAAAACGTCATCTAATCCTTCTTTTCTTCAAGGCAGGATAAACTAAACATACATTGCTTTTTTTACAGATGTTTTGTTAATCTCTTCTTTAAAGCCTCCAAAGACAGGCATTCTAAAATTTCTGTGGCAACTTATCTTTTGTGCTTAACTATTCTTACCAACAGATTTTTTTTTTTTTTTCATCGATGAACTCTAAATCTCCTTCACAGCAATTTAAGCACATTGTCCTACCAAAACAGAAATGGAGAACAATTTCATTCTAACATCTTTCTAGTACATTTTAGATACTTAAAATCTATTTAGATGTATTTATTTCCCTCCATTCTAGTTCAAGGTTTTTGTTCTTTTAAAATTTCCTTGAAGCAGAAATGGTAAGCACTGCTCTGGGCTCTGATTTGACTGTTTGACTGAAATTTACTCTTCTGTCTGTCATGTCCCTCCATTTCCCCACCACTTTGACCCTCTAAATGTCCACCAGTCCTAACAATGAGATGCTACTATGAAATTTGTTGGAGGTCCTCAGTGCTTTGACATGTCTATATAGATTATGGCAACCCTACCTGGGTGTGAGTAGCTCCTAGCAGAGTTTTAACTTGCATTGCTGTAATGCAAACATGATTACATTCACTAAATTTAAAAGAATAGTGTGTGCCAATGGCAGTAAATTGTTAAGTAATGGCTGTTTTATGGAAGCAGCCTCCTGCTTTACAAGTAGTGGGAAGCAGAAAGCACTGGTACCTGAAACATCAACTTTATTCAGATCATTAACAGCAAAAAGAAGTGAACAAAATCAATTTTCCTCTTCTGTCTTCAGATCTTCCTTAATACCAGAGGCAACAATGGCAAAGAACAGCTCTGGGAAGAAGGTCCGAATGTAAACTGCTGCCCTGGGGATAGGATTGGCCATAAGAACTTCCTGCTTCTTCCTGCTCACTGTGCGCAAGACTTCTTCTGCCACCTCCACCGGKTGCACGCCGTATGTCAACTTCCTGAAAAAGACTGTACAGCAAACCAGTGAGGAATGAAAGGCAAACACATCTGGGGAAATGGTGGGGAAAACTATACCAGCTGTCACACCAGCAGTTAAGTTCCGTGCCCTTACCCCGTTCTATCCCTTCTCCTTCTTGTGACCATCCACTCTAAGGTCTTTTTGTGAAGTTGAAGTCTTTTCCGTTAGAGTCCTCACATTCCTTAAATGAAGGAGGAACTTCAATGCAGCTGAGCTCTCATTTAGAAAACATATTTGCAGGTCTCAAGAGTCTGGACACGCCAGCTTTTCTGTTTACTGTCAGTGAGTATTTAGGCATAAAGCAAGGTTGCTTCAGCGTGAAGACAGCACCAAGGCAACAGGGAGTGCATGAAAAGGTGGAACTGACCTGCTTGTGGGCGAGCAGCAGTGCAGCGCAGAATGTTCTCGGCCCTGAAGGTTATTTTCCTGGATATCTCCAGAGCTCCCTTCCAACCCAATCTATTTTGTGATTCTGTGTTTCGTGAAGTCCTACTATATTCCTAAGGGCTGACTTGGCGAAAGAAAAGCCTTTGGGGACATCAGAATGAATTTTGATGAATGTATTAACCTGTTCTGGAGAAACCAACAAATTAGCACTTGCTGCTGATGATGAAGGGCTGAAATGGCTGCATTTCAGGCACTTCTGTGGTGCATAAGCAACCTCTTCAAAAAACAACAGTCACATGAGGCAGCTCTCCAAACCTCTAACAGCAGCAAGAGCAGTTTGTCTGGTTCTCCAAATGTCTTTACTCTCCTTTAGCATCCCTGTCATGCTCCTCTTCTCTCTCGCCTGTGCTGCCCAGTTCAAACACTTCTAGTTTCACTGTTTAGTGAAGTTACAGAAACAGAAATAATAAAACCAATTTTCTTCAGTGGTACAGATCTGCAAAGGGCTGTGCCTATTTTACTTCACATGAGGTTAAATTCAGCCTCTTCTCTCAGGCAAGAGAGGGAATGGGTTCTTTAGTTAGTATTAGTAGATGGCCAAATTCCATAGACAAAACTTAATTTGGAAACTGAAGCCTGACAGCCAACAGGCCCACATTGTCTGACTTGTATTTCCTGCCTTTTCCAAATGAGATAGGCCTCTTGCCTGTCTACTGTGGCTTACTTGTGGTCACAACACTTCTACGGTACATGGGCACCACTGATCAACAGACTTCAATTCAGCGCACGCTTCTACTAAAAGAGATGATCAGCACAGGGGACTTGCTCACACACATGCTGCTTCTCTGGGAAGCAAGAGAACAGAAGCTTTCTGGTCTTCCATCCTTTCATCCATTCCTACCTCTAGTACACTTTCTACTACTGYGATTATGAGTGTCATCTTACTGTTATCTCAGTGTCTCAATTCCTGAAACAAGAGATCCTATGAAATACAGAAAATGAGCCTCTTCCCCTCCATTCTCAACTTGAGGCAGAACAAATCCTCTGGCATTTTCTATTCAGCCTCTTGTAGCAAAAGAGAGTAGATGTTGCATTCTTTAGTTTTACTGAGCGTTTACTCTACTTTTTCTCTGTTCTTCCTTACTAATCTACCTGTCTCTCACTGACCCATACGTAGCGCCTTCCGCCCTYGGTCCTTTTGTGTCACGTTCTACCCCCAATCTTCATAGTTTCTTTACTCACATAATGTCCCCTTTCGCTTTCTTCCTCTAATCAGACTTATTTGATTTCTCCATTCTCAACTTTTTTCTTTTAATTGCTTCCTGATGATCAATCCTTTTCCCCATATTGCTTTCTCCTRTTTTGAGATATGGCTACATATGGCTCTTTTTATGCATCAAAACTTACATTTCCAAATTAATGCCTCCCAGTTGCCAGATGCCGACTGACGATGGTATGAACAGATGAAGGTTGGACTCACAGTGCTGACACAAATACCGAATTCTTCCATTTCCGCTCTAAGACAGTCAAAAAAGCCTACAGCAGCATGCTTGGAAGCAGCATCTAAAAAAACAGAGGGATGCAGAGRTGCATGGATATAAAGTTGATTAAACGTGAATGTTTGAAAAAATGAGCAAAATGGCAAAGAACTGGAGGCACTGAGCACAACTATCAATTGAGAAATTGCTCTATAGTGAAAAAATATTTTTGAGATGAGTCTCCAGTTTGTCTCATGCCACAGTTTGTGAGACATTAATGACATGCAGTGAAATGCATATCCATTGAAGAAATAGCAGGACAGTTCATGTTTGGAAAAAAAAAATACTTTGGCCCTGCAGCAGCAGTTTCTCATTTGTGATGCTTTTAATATTAAAGTTAATTTTAAACCAAGTGCATTGCATGGATTTTTTTTAACTGCTGCCAGTGCATTTTTATTGAGATGATTTCAAAGAAAAATAATAGCATGTGAATCTAGGCCAAGAAACAGAATTTTGTATTAAGAAGACTAGAGCTGCAAAGCACATATCCACTCTGTATTTGACTCTGAACTGTAAACCTATCTGTGCATAATATAATCTAAAAAAATGACATGTCAGGCTTTCACTCTAGGTTCAAGTGAAGGTCTTCTGTCTTTTGGATCCTTTTTCTTCTGACTGCCTCCATCACAATCTTTTTAGGTTCTTTGCTGCTGCATTAGAAATCCTTGCTCCGAAGTGGTTTTGCTAGTTTGCAAACTCGGCGTGCATTCGCTCAAATGGCAAGAACATGCCATCAAGTTCCAGAAAAGAAAAAAGAAAAAAAAAAAAGACTTTTCAGCTGTAATTCCATCTTTTCCTTTTCTGTAGCCAATTTCAGGACAAAAAGAACCTTCTCTTTTGTTTTTTCTTGAAATTCCTTTTTCTCTCTTTGTGTCATGCAATAGATAGAAATCAACTGTAGAATCTCTTTTATCTATCCTGCCATTCGTGGTTTTATATACATTCATTTTATGAATTCAAATACCTTTTATCATAACCCAGGTCAGCTTAGTTTCATTAGGAGCTTTGGGTGAAGCACTTTTTAAAAAATCCTTTGGAAATCCAAGCAGATTACATCACCAGCCTCTCCTTTTCAACTCTTAAAGAAAATTCCATTAAAATTGTTCAGCATGACCTTCCTCTATGAAAGCAGCATCCATCTCTATGAATATGCTTATTTGTTCATCTCTCCACTAACTTCATTTTTTTTATCATAATTTATGCTAAAATGCCCAGTTCAGACACCAGATTTCCTGACATTTGTTTGTCATTCCCTGAATCCCTTCTAAGAATTTTTAGGAAACTTATAGTTGCATTTGGTAGTTTGTTCTTTAGTATCTTAAGCAGATACATATACATAACAGTTAGTGTTAAACTATTTCTTCCCTAGTTGCATTTTTTTGCAAACATTTCAGTTAAATACTATATTAATGCATATGCAAGTTTATTAAATCAGGATACAAATCAGCACTTGTAATAACTTAATATCAGAATCATGGAATACTTCCAATTCACATATTAGGTTGTACATTTTGCTCTATATAACTTACAAGCTGCACGAAATGGGACTCCTATCTTTCCTTGGATACTATTAATTAGAACAACTTGGCCAGTTTTTCTTGAGATCATGTTGGGAAGAAGGGCTGTGAAAGAAGAGAAGAGATAGAGGAAATTGTTGAAAATCTTTAATTGGCTTTTTTGTTTGTTTTTCTTTTTATTCAATGACCTGTTTCCATTTAAGCAGAAATATTTCCAGGAAAGAAATGAGATTGTGTTTTCTGACTTTATAATATCTTRACAATATTTGTGTCTATTTTCTATTGTCATTACTTTCTGCTTTCCATTTCTTTGATTTTTATTGTGGCTCATTCCGTTTTTCTTGGAAATCTAGTTCTTTTGAAGACATACTGACAACAGCAGTGATAAAGATTTTTATATTGATTCTATATTCTTCTATGTCAAAGAAAGTGTTAGGAACACAAACTTCCCGAGAATGGAGGTAAAGTCATATGATCCATCCTATCCCCAGGAAAATACTGCCCAGGTAATACTAGTTAATATAAAAAGACAGGCACTGCATCTGTTTTCCTACTATTGAGTCATTTCTTGGTCAAGGATTGCTTGATTTAAGAGAGTTRTGCCAATTCTTGATGATTTGCATTCAGACTACCAAATCCCACAGCAAGAGTTAGAAAATCTCTGCCTCACAGGACAGCATTTCTTCATCTAGTGACCGCGATGCTCAGCAAGACTCTCAGCACTAATAACCAGTGCCAGGTAAARACCTCCCATAAGGGAAGGTGAGGTGGGAGTTGGAGGTGAGCTCAGAGCAGACACTCGCTGATGTGCCACAGTCCCAGGGACCACAGTGCCCAAGCAAGGCAAGATCCATGTAGGAGCAGCGGGAGATGAGACCAGAAACAATCACAAAAAAATCTACCATGTTCATATGAGGGTTCCAYCCAGGAGACAATCTATCTAAAACGTAGGTCCAAGGTCCATCTAGGAGTCACRGCCAGAGGCAAGTATGCCTGGAACATATCTCAGGCAAGGACTGAGGGTTCAGATTTTTCACATAGTTGTTTTTGATTGTAGTGAAGAAGACAAAATTAGATGAAAATKAAATAGAATAATACCAGTGATTTTCATCTCAAGCTCTATGCAGTAACAACAAATTGAGAAAGAAAGAAAATACCTTTGGTTAATGTTACAGGTCCAAAATAATTGGCATCCATAATCTTTTTATCGAGTTCCAGGGAAATGCTTTGCACTGCTCCTTTYACCTTCATACTTGCATTGTTGATCAATATATCCACACAGCCGTAGCAATTCAGGATTTCATTAGCCACATCTTGGATGCAGTTTATGTCTGAGATATCCAGAAGTATGAGCTTTGGTGTATATGTCTAATAAAGAAAATGGTTGTTTCAACACTTCCGATTATATAAAAATATGCTTTTCTTTRCCCTTTCTGTAAATTCATTTGCCATGATATCTGAAGGAATAGCTTTCACCATTCTCACACACACACACAAAAAAAAGACCTTGCTTATTCTTCTAAGCCACACTAGAAAGAGGGTAGCTCAGTAGTGGATATTTATGAACCCTGGACATCAGGCATTAAAATTTAGGTACATCAATTGGGAATCCCATGGGAAGATTATCTTGGACTAGCTCTACCCCAACCAGCGCTGTATCTCTCAATTCCTTCCGTAACCAGTAGACACAGACAAAGAGGGTGAGAATTAGCACCTCAAGCTTTGGTCCTTTTGTAAGCAGATCTCTAGAGAAAGTGCTTTTATAGATAATTTRGATATATACAGAGGGACTGACTTTGCAGGTAAAATTATCAGGAAGGAGTAGTTTATTCAGCTGTAAGTTATCCAAGCAGATGTTACACTTGTATGGTCTCTGCAAAGATACAAGTTTTAATCAGCAGTTACATATGCCATCAAACAGACGAATGAACTCTCCGGCTCTTCTCCTTCCATATTATTATGATGATGTAATGCAGATCCCTTAGCAGATATGGGGTTTTTTTTCTGGTTGTCAGCACAGTGACATAAACACACTATTTTATGACTATTTATACAGACAAATGAAGCTCACTGCAGAAGAAGGCTCAAATAAAAACATTATTTGGTGTGATGAGCAATGGCTGAGGATCTTTTTTCAGCTTCCACTCCATTTCGCATCACCAGTTGGAAAGGGTACCAGGAAGAACCAGTTGGAAAGGGTACCAGGAAAGGGTACCAGGAAAGGTACCCTTTTTCACTTCATCCGGTAGATGGGTAGCTGGGACTCTCAACTCAGAACTGGATTTAGTCTTTAGACACATCCTTCATTTCTTGAGTTCTCATTATATGGAAAATAAATGATAGTGCCTGTCATTCAATGAAGAGCTTTGAATCTCTTATATTTGAATTACATTCTTCTGTCTAAACTGTATACCTGGGTGGTTTCAGACAGTAGTTTAGTCAAAATGTAGGACCACTCATTGCTTGGTTGCCTTGAATTAGTTCAAAATAGCAAGATTTATGACTTTCAGCATCATGAAACCCTCCAAAGATACTACCCGCTCTCTCTCTGTGGACTCTGTTGGGTAAAAATGATTTGAAAAGCATTTTTTGTACCTGAAAACGTTGTTGACCTCAATTTGTCAATTTTCAAAGCTAAATGACGAAATACGTACCACGCTGGGGTCTGCCACACTAATTAAAGCATCATGCAAGGCTTCTAACTTCTCCCATGTCCTGCCACACAACACAAGCCTTGCTCCTCCTGCATGAAACACCCGAGAACATTCTAGGAGAGAAATAAGTTTAAAATAAATAATATAACATAAATAATAACATAATTAAATAACATAATAACATAATAATAATGACTCCCCAGTAGTCAATGGAGGCAACAAGGACTAGCCTGAGCTGCCTCTTACTTGGCCATGTCCCCAAAAGACTTCRTGCTCAGGCTATGCCCATTTCACACTTTCAATGTACATGGAAGTGCTTGTATCCAATTTTCTATTTTTATAAATCTGTACAGCTGGTACTTACATATGCAATCTCTCATTATTTATGACTGAAATTTTAGAGATTTATTTAATTATCTATTTTCTCTACCTCCCCACCAAATAACATCTAGAGATTGTGCAGGAGAGTGCACAAACAGTATATGGCACAATGCCTTCGATCTAATGGGATGGTGTGGAAGGAAATCGGGAGCAAGAGGAAGTAAGTACATGGTAAGTGGCTGGCCACACGGCTAGTCAGTTTATATAAAGAGATTAATTAGCACATATCCTTCATCTTTTTCTACTGTTACATATAGACCAGTTTGTGGTACTGCAGATTATCAGAAGAAGAGCATAAGCACTAGACGGAGATAAGAGTAAGGAAGGGAAGGTGTGTGTGTTCTGCTGTATACACAGAGCAGGGAAGGCAGAAGAAGTCCTTAAAGAATGGAGAGGAACATGCAAAAGAGTAA